ACCCATGACCATTTTGCTTGACCTCTAGATGAAATCCTTCCTAAGGGCTTTACCCCATCTCTTCAATTCTTTCTTATATGAAACTAATCGTCTTCTTAAACTCATTTTCTTTCCAAAGGATTACCTGAAGAAACCTCCTCAAGAAGCATCTTCCTGACATTAACTGAAGAAGGTGAGGTAGACAGAGCCAATGACAAGCAACCAAGAGCAGAGCCCTGCGAGAGCAGATCAATATAACAGATTCACATACAATGCTGCACCATAGGGAATAACAAATAATAGAAATGTGCATAAAAGTAAGACTAACCAGCAGACCAGTCTGGTCACTTTTGAACCGAAAACCCTCTTCAATCCTTCTCATTAGAGATGTAACAACAGTAGGCAACAAATCTGGTGGCATTCTCGAATATCTGATCAAACCAAACACCAAGTACACATACTAATTTTCACAGGGAAAAAAAAAACTAAAAAACTGCATCAGCAGTGAGCAAAGCCAGCTAACCAAAATCTACAGAACACTATAACAAGAGAAACAATCTAACCCCACTGTCATATCCCCAAAAAACTGGAAGGAAGAAAGAAAGAAAAAGAAAAAGATAACAATGGGGGAGCCAAAGAAAGAAACATGAACTTTTAAGTTCAAGCACTAGCCTTCACTTCTGCATATCCTTAATGCCTTGACATGAACTTATGAGATAAATAACCCAAAAAAAAAAAAAGGAAGAAAACATTGCTGTAACAATTAAAAGCACTCGAGTAATAGTACTATTAAAAAAAAAAAATACGTACGGTGTAGATGATACCACCAGCCTGAGAATCTTAAACAGCAACGCAAGCAACCTACCATTTGCTTCGTGCTGTAACAAATATAGAATACCTACATAAAAACAAAAAATTGATTGGAAAATTGCACAAGAAATGAGTCAAAACATGTCAAGAATAATTGAAAGAATTGACAAAACCATCATAAGAGGAAGTTTCTGGGGAACTAATTGATTTAACAAGATATTGTCGATAGATACCTCTGTGGAGTTGCAGTAAAATCTGTCCAAGGGAGCTCGAAAGTGCTGTGTAAGATCCAAATTTACTGGATTCCTTATATTCTGCTACTTGAAGGAAAACGGACGAAAGACCATCCAACATGGCTACAAGAGTCGATGCAGATGCCATCCGTGCCTAGACATCATAAAGTACCACCTTTTAGCTGAGAACCACTACATCAGACTTGAATAAGATCATTAAACACACCCAAAACCAGCAAAAACTTAATTCAAATCCACATACTAAAATTCATATCAGAAATATGCATGCATAGAAAAGGACATGATTTATTTTTATTTTTAAAAAAGTCATTAAACACAAATATTTAGAAAAAATTCAATACCTTGAAATATGGATCAAACAGCAAGCATGTCATTAGAGTTGCATCAGACTTCCTACACATATGCAGATCAAAGGCATAATTAGAAGAAAAGAAAGCAAAATCAACAGTCAAATAAAGAGATTAGCACAAAAAACTTTGGACTAGTAGAGGAGGATGAATTCCATACCTTGGTTGTAGTACATCAGTGGTAGGAAAAAGTATGGACCATTGCGTAGATAAGGATTTAAATTCAGCTTGACAAAGATCCTTCCCACCATTTGAATATTTAACCAACAAAAGAAATTTCCCATCAATAATCAATAATAGCAAACATAGCATCTAGATAACCACATAAAAATGAAATTTTTTGACAACCAGTGCCATCTTCATGATTTGTTGAGAAAGTAGCCAATCTCTTTTACAAATAACAACATGAGTAACATGATTTACCAAAAAGTTTCAAATTGTTTACTGAGTAAATGCAGACTTCAAGAGTGCTATTGGATCGTTCACCCCACCCTCAAAAACTCCCCCGGTTACCTAGGATGATAAACACTGCCAAAACATTCAATAATTATTTGGTTGGTTTTTAATCGCAGATGAGCTACTAAGGACCAACTAAAACACTTTGAGCTTCTACAAGATGATCTTTGCAATTTCTATTGTGCTCATTCTGAAACACTTGAATAGTTACTTTTTGAATGCCTTATTTCTACAAAAATTTTAAAAATATTGATGGCTTATGTTGATTTTGATATCAGCTTGTCTAAATCATTTGTTGGCCACATGTTTTTATGAAAACTGAAGGGAAAAAAGGCTGGTGCATAAACTTTGAGCAGCTTTTTTTTGCACCACGATTTATGCTATTCGGCAGGCTAAGAATGCCTTTATTTTCTGACACGAACTCCCAGCTTGTACTCAATTTTTCATAGGATAGTAGATAAGTTAAATGGAATTAACTTTTACCTCTTCATAGGTAGGAATCGGTATCCAAAGGAATTAAGCTGATTAACATCTTCTAAAGTTGGGTCTTTTGATTCTTGCAAACTGCGTTTGTTTGGATTCTATACATGGTGTAATTTTTTGTATATGGGGCATTCCCCTATTTAGTGTAAATTAGTTTCAGTTAATATGATGTTTTCACCTTCTTCCAAAAAAAATGATGGTAACTTAATTTCTTTCATTTCATTACATTTTAAAACTTACTTTTCTTAAAAAAACTGACAGCTATTCTTCCCAGGGGCAGAAGTAGGATCTTGGACTTACTACATGATGCTGCTTTCAATTTTATGTATGTTTTTGTCTTTATTCTCGATTATACAATGTATACATCACTTCAATATTACAATACATCATGCATTAGGGCTCCATAAGTCGATTAGCAGGTGTGTTGAGCACCATGTTATCAACAACCATGGCTTCAGTTGGTTTTCTCTTCCACTTAATTCATTCACCCATCCAAGTTTTTTATCATATTAGAAATCTAATCTCACGTGAAATTTTATTTTCCCAGTAAAAAAGAATTTTTAAAGAATTAACTTACATTGTGAAAAATATACAATGAGACAATGGGAGAGGAGTTAAATAGCAGGTCATAAGTTAGTTTGAGTTCTTCAAGACTATTGCGTCAGCCATTCTCGATCCTAGCATTTGATTATTCGAGGCTTTCTACATGCTCATATATATGTGAATGTTGGGAGAATATAATAGACATTTCAGTATTAAGTTCTCATAAAGGTACTTTTGGAAGGAAGTAAATGCAAGGTTTAAGAAATTTACCTGTATGCAAATTATGGCAGCTACTCTGACCTTAGAGTTCAGCACACTTTCACTATCCTTAGCTGGTCCATCACCATCACTGAAATCAGAATCTGAAGATGCAACATAAGAAGTAGAACATTCGTTATCTTCTACAATATCTGGAGAATGAGGATGCCAAGCCCTATTATGCTTCAAATTTGAACAGTCTTTCTTGCGTAAGTGTGGAGGTCTATATGCACCACGATTGGAGTTGTTCCCTTGCCCCAAACTTGCCTTTGGACTCATTGTTCTTGGATGCTTCTTCTCACAACCAATGAGGGGTGAAGTATGTGGTATTTTGCCAGTAAGGCCATAAGTAAGGAAGATTCGTAGGACAGATACAAAAACTGAAACCTAAAAAAAAATGAAATTATCAAAAATAAAAATAAAAACTGCTGAAGCATCAAAATGGCTAAACATGAACTCATTCAAATTATTAATAAACAAAGACAGAGAAACTTACATGATCTGATGCAGAACATTTACGATCAGAAAGAACTAAATGCAAACAATGCAGAAGGGATTCATAATACCTGCAAATGATATGCATCAGCAGGCACTAATAAAGAATATGACCAGAGCATTGCAATCTCTTAGAGTTTCTCAATTTCCTCATGTTTGGGTAATCTATTAGGCAGGTTACCTGGACATAACAATGTCTTCTACAATTGGAATTTTTGACACCATGCCATCCATCATTTTCCGAAGCACCTGTTTAGGAAAAGGCCAGTTGTTGCATCTTGTTTGTAACGCAGGACCAAACAGACACCTAAACACACACACACAGAAGAATTCTTGCACACCTCAATTATGGATCTCCAGATATCAAGTGGAAAGGATGACCCGTCCCTTGAAATTACTTCACCAAGCATAGAAAATGCTACACCTAGTAATTCCCATGAACTGCTATCTCTGGGTAATCTCATAGATGTCTCGGCAGAAGATCTTTCTTTGCAAGTAGAATGAGGCATCCGACATGACCCATCATGAGTTCTCACAATAATGTTAAGTAGGAACTTAATTAGTAGCGTGTCTTCAGACTGAGACCATCTTCGTTGAGATGGTGTGATGATATATCTGCAGAGGGGCATATTTTGTATAGTGGAAATCAAAAGGTATTAATAGGGATGCAGTGGAAATGAAGAACAAACAACATAGAACCCCCTTCCATAATAGAGGGCACTGCTTTTATCACCAACAGAAGATTGGTCCATTCATATATGGGACATGAAGTTTTCTAGAACTTAAAAAGCAAAACAGAAGATCAATAACTGCAACATGCACTTACAAGTACTTTTCAAAATTTCAAAAAATGCAATATAGAATTGAAGCTTTATATATTAAAGAGAATAAACAACCAAGATTACAAGGTATTGTTTGGTAATAATCATATATGTAATCTCAGATTTGCGATATATTTAAAAAACTCAAAAGAAAAAGAATATGCTTTCAACATACATCATAGTGACCTAACCTTCGCTTTTCCCAAACTATACAAGTCCTAACACGTAACAAATACATAAATAAGTCATCAGCAGGCCTACTTTCCTGGCAAGATTGCAGTAAGAGTATGTTAAGGTTGACGGACGAGCAGAAATAAGAGTGATGATTAATTTGACACACGGATCATAGAAAGACTATAGATACATTTTCGAACTGCCAACTGCCACTCTAGTTAAGAGAATACTACGGAGTCGGGTTTGTCAGGTAGGTAAAAGAACCTGATAGCCTGTAAACATTCAATCGCATGTCTTATTGAAGAAGTACTTCCAATTTTATTTAACTCGTCACTAGTAATAGCTTCTCCAATAAAATGATCCAGCATCTTCCCGTAACAATCAAAGAGACGGGCCAAAGAGAGAGCGTTTATTTCCAAATACACGCGACGAGATGCATCATGGATCTGTGACAATAAGAACAGAAGAGAGGCAAATCAATGCGGAACACACTAATGACATTTGCCTCGCGTATGCATTTGTATTTAACTTGTACCAAGCGTGATGTTTGCGTAAAGACTTGAGTCAATTCTTCTTCGCTGGCCGAAGTAGTTGCAACCAACTCCAGCATAAACAAAATGTCGGACAAAACCTAACAGAAGAATTTGAACCAGGAGTTAGATCGAGTCGTGAACTAAATGAAGAGATGATTGAGTCCATGGCATGCAATTTGCTTTCCAAACGAGATACCTCATGAGAAGGAAGTTCGGGGACAGCAGACAACAAGGTGTGTGAATGGGAGAAAATGAGATTATGTAGCATATGGGCGATCGAAGCACGAGCAGGAGGGGTAAGGATTTCGTCTCTGAGAGTCAAGAAGGCAGTCCTCCACGACCTCACCAATGACGGTGATGGCAATGTCCCAGAGCCCGTGCCCGCCATCGAAGTGATCGGAATTACTTACAAAATCAAACATCAAACAATTTTAACGGACGTGTTCGCCTTTCGGCCAACCTGAACTCAGCGCATCTGCCTCACTTCTCAGTTCTCAGCACCCTTATTAGTATCTCTAAATCCTATCCATTCAAATGATCTAAAAGCTCACAACGCACCACATCATTAAGCTGTTAAAAATGAATCCTCACCATCCATTGTCTTATAATGCTAACGGCAATTCTTCAAGGTTCTGCTGGATTTGAGTTCAACACTCGACATTCTGCGGGCTCCATCATACATATCAAGTAGATTTTCGAAGTTCTTCCCCTTTTTAGTGATTCCATCTATATATCAAATAAATTTTCTTGGTTTGATGTGACCCCAAAAGTTTTAAAATGTAGCAATATTTCCATTGTGTTAAAATGTTAATGTTGACCATTAACATTTCATCAATAAATCACACAATTAATCAATATCGAAGTGACAGTATGCATGATTTATGTGTAAAAATTTATTTTACTTTTGAGTTTTGATCATGCAAGAGTGTTTTGGCTCCAGAGTGTTCATGTGTTGCATTTGCTGATGATGAAATATAATTTCAGGTAGTGAAATAAATTTTTTGAAAAAGATATTAACATACACACACAGGTGATGTAATTTACAAGTTATGAATAATGTATATCACCAAGTGAAAAAAAGCAATAGCAAATTTAACACATGTTTGTGTAGTGAAGTGATGAAAGGTAAAGTGTAATTGTTTAAGGTTACTGAATAGCATAGTTTACTGTAAATTTATGTGATATATTAATTATAATTTATTCAATTCGTTTTAGTAGAGTCATTTAATCATTTAATTAACTAAGCCAGGCTACCATCATATCAGGCAAAACACTTTAATGTGCTATTCAATAACCTAATAAAAATACATTGACATCTTTTAGCTTAGTAAAGTCTCTAGTGTGCAATGTACCAACATCGTTAATACTAGCCCTGATTCTAAATATAAGCTAATAGTTAGTTTATTTTGTCAGGTAGGAGAGGAATGTAACGTCACTAATTTACTGTAAAATAAGGTAAACTGTGAGTTATAACATTGAGTTCGTATAATTATTAAGAACTTCTGGTCAAAATATAAGGCATACCACAACCAATAACGTTGTAATGTTGAATCTCTGCACCTGTGAGTTCTGCAAGTGAGTGCCTTCAGTGTTTTGGCTATTTTTTGAGGAGATATATATTGTATTGTAATTTACTAAACCCTTTTGAATTGTTACGCTATGCTCACATTAAGTTACTAATATTCATTATATCAAAATTTTCAATCGCGACTGAGTGTCCTATTTTTCATACATTTGAGTTTATACTTAAATGATGATATTTTAAAAATAGAATGCATGATTTTATGCTATTGAAGAAGTTGATATAACTTAATAAACTTTATTAATCTTTTTAAATTAGTCTACCAGCTCGTAATTAAGGACCGAAATTGGATCAAAGTCGGTTGTACTTTAGAGGGAGCTGTCAAGCATCGTGTATTTGCTATTGGCAATTATGTGAATCAGAGGCACTACAAAAAAATAGACTTTAGGCGACGACTTTCGGCGGCGACATCAAAAAGTCGCCGCTGAAAGTCTCGGTTTCAGCGGCGACTTTTTTAATCGCCGTTGAAAGTTCGCTATTGAAACCAAGACTTTTAGCGGCGACAAAAGTGTCGCCGCCGAAAGTGGACCTTCAGCGGTGACTTTTTTGTCGCCGTCGAAAGTGGACCTTCAGCGGCGACTTTTTTAGTCGCCGCTGAAAGTTCGCCATTGAAACCAAGACTTTTAGCGGCGACAAAACTGTCGCCGCCGAAAGTGGACCTTCAGCGGCGACTTTTTTTGTCGCCGCCGAAAGTGGACCTTCAGCGACGACTTTTTTAGTCGCCGCTGAAAGTTCGCCATTGAAACCAAGACTTTCAGCGGCGACAAAAGTGTCGCCGCTGAAAGTGGACCTTCAGCGGCGACTTTTTTTGTCGCCGCCGAAAGTCCACTTTCAGCAGCGATTTTTTTAGTCGCCGCTGAAAGTATAATATAATAATATATATTTTATTTTATAATATTAATAAACAAATTCAATCTGGCTCAGCGGCAAGAAGGTTGGACACGAAAGGAGGCGGTCACGAGTTCGAACCTAGAAGAAGACACATTTAAGGTGAAAATATTTAGACGATGACGTGGCGAGGAGGAGTGACGTGGCAATGACGTGGAGGTGGCTAGTGATGATGTGGCGGTCGGCGGTGATGACGTGGCCGCTGATGACGATGACGTGGCGGCCGGAGACGATGACGTGGCACCGACGGTGATGACGTGGCATTAGTAAAGTCAATTCTTCTTAGGCATTACTTTCAGCAGCGACAAAAAAGTTACCGCAGAAAACACTTTCGGCGGCGACATTTGTCGCCGCGGAAAGGTCTTTCAGCGACAACAAGAGTGTCGCCGCCGAAAGTGTTTTCTGCGGCGACTTTTTTATCGCCGTTGAAGGACTTTTCAGCGGCGACACTTCTAAAAGTCACCGCTGAAAGTATCTTTTAACGGTGACATTTTTAGTCGCCACTGAAAGTTTTCAGCCACGGCTGCTACGGCAACGACTTTTCAGCGGTGACTTGTCGCCGTAAAAAACTTTCGGCGGCAACTTTTGTACTTTCAGCGGCGACTTTTGTCGCCGCTGAAAGTCAATTTTTTTGTAGTGAGGTTACTGAAATCTGTTCATGTTTGGTTTGCTTCGGTTCTTCGGAGCATCCAAATGGATGGCACCTTTAACCAAACAAAGCCTTTGGTTTGCTTAGTTCCTAGCTACACCTGCTTCAGCTATGATTTAAAGAGTGCTTGTGGCTCTTGGCCGATTTCGCGTTCACTCGTCATTTACTGGGTGCTTTTAAATTTGTGTTATGTGCATATGCAGAGATTAATGATGTTGAAGACCCGGACATTACCAAAGATGGTGAGTAAGTTATTGTTCTTAGATTAAGGACTGGAGGTAGTATATCACTTCTTTTCTGGGAATTTGCTGCAAAAAAAAAAAACACAAAAGTCAGTTTCCTGTTTTGAATACTCTCACGGCTAAAACAAAGCCCAACATTTACCATTATATAGTATTATCGATCTTATAGCAGTATGATAAAATCTGTTCACTTACAAAATTTTAACAATAATGATTAAATTAAATTGAAAATCTGCATTTTAGGAGATTATGAGAATATAATTACCAGTAATTAAGGAGGAAGGGGCAAGTGTTTTCAGCTTTTATATGCAATTTTTTTTTTTATGATAATCCAAAGATATTGAGTGAAATTCCAAAGTTATTCCAAATATTAAATGCCAATCATCAATGAGTTTAATTCCACATCAATCAATTTTTATAAATAATTTTAAAATCAAATCGTTTTCTAATGCTGCATTTTTATGCTGCACGACAACGGCCTTGTTCAAGAAGATCAAAATTTATCTTACCAGTTACCAATGCCATTTTCTTACAATTATCCACATAAGATTCTTCTGATTAAAAAAGGAGCATCGTTCATTATCCATTTTTTTAAAGAAATTCAATTTTTTGGCCCTTTAATGGTATTAAATTGAATTTCCTTTTGGTATGTCGAAACTAAAAAAATTTATCCTAAAACATTTAAGATTCTTTATGATTATAAATATTTAAGACTCTTGGCTATGATATATAAATATTTAAGATTCTTTGTGAGTATGATTACATTAATTTTTTTTTTAACGGAGTTTTGCTTTTGCAGTTTTGCGCCTTCCCAGGACCTACGTAAGTAACGTGACGCAACAAACTAAATCTCCTTCGTCTCAGGGTTCAAACCTAGGAACAAGAGTTTAGGTTTGAAGTACTGTTATCCATCATGCGGCTCAATCTCCTTCGTCTCAGGGACCGGCTCTCCATCACTCCATGGCTGGAGAGGAGTTTACTTTCCTTCTCCTTCTGCCCAGTTCTGGCAAACCAAGCGGCTTCTTATTGTAGCAGAACAAGAGGAGGTCAGAAAACTTGGGAAGGTCCCAGCGTATTACAGAAAACGACGTTCTTTGGAGCCAATCTACTTTTGGACGGAAAAGTTGCCGAAAACAAAGTGGTTTCACCCTTGTCCTTCCAAGTGGTGCTCAGCCTCCTTGTCGATCATCTCAATCACTTAGCCTCCCAAATGTCCGATATCATCTGTGCCTATGGTGATCCAGCCGTCGGCCCTCGTATGCGTTGCGCCAATGCCTTATGGCATGATCAACCGCTTACTTTGAAGTCCTCTTTTAAATAGATTCTCGACTCTGATTATAAAGCAGCTGTGAACCCAGTGGACTTTCAAACCCAGGTAATTTTTTACAAGGATTTCATGTGTGTCCACTTGCTAACCTATCTGTTGGAGTAGATACAAGTTTCTTTTCTTCTTATATCTCTAAGATAAGTAAGGAAATTAAGGGAATCAAGAACAACTTATTGTTCCCGTGAAGTGCTTATGAAATGGCTATAATTTGTCCAGGCTCCTGATGTGAGGCAAAATATTAATTCATGGGTGAAAAATGAGACAAATGGCCTGATTCAAGACCTTATTGGCGAGGAGTCTGTCAACAAGTCACCCCGGCTCGTCTTTACAAATGCACTCTACTTCAAAGGAGCATGGAATGAGGACCGACATAGTTCACCCTTCAAAGAGGACATTGAAAATAAAGAGACGGCTTCCTTCAACACTTCCAAGAGGAAAGAATATGGTATAGTGGTTATAGCATGAGCATGCTCAATCTACCGTATCAAAAGCAAAGTCAAGATAAGTGCCGAGTCATGATGCGTGTCATTTATCCGTCGTAGATACTGAACATGGGTCTGGATTCCGTGTTACTGAAACCCTAATGCATGTACGTGGCCACATGACCCCAAAATTTGATAATTCTTCTGAGGTGGAAAGCTTCCCATGTGCGGAGGCAACTTGGGGTGAGATCGCCATTCTCTAAAGGAGAGTTGACAGAGATGTTAAGTTCTTTTGGTCGTCGAAGGTTATGTGTTTCCAACATATTTCAGAAGGCATTCATCGAAACAAATGAACAAGGGACACAAGCCGCAACAGCCACCGCTGCAGTAGTAATGTTTGGGTGTCCACCACGTTTGCCGCGTCCACCTAAAATTAAAAAAATGCCCTAAAATTTACTTCCCATGCCCCCTTAATGTTGGAAGACTAGCAGGGTTTGGAGATATTCTCATGGCCAGAACAGAGTTGGCGGTTAGTATGGTGCTCAATCCTCTCCCAAGGTAGTGTTTCAATGTTACGTGTCATCATTATAAGTTGTATTTTAAATGTTTAACTCTCTTTAATTAGTTTTTTTTATCATCAGAGACTCTGTTTCGTGCTGTAATTTTTATACAACTAAAAATTATTTTAATACATCTATTTTCAAACGTTCTAATATTTCATAAAACTTATTAATTTTGATTATCTTATAAAATTTTATAAGTCTGATTTTTCATCACATCAATTCAAATTTATTTATTTAGGTTTCTTTTTAATGGCTAAAAATTTTTTGTTAGGTCTACATTGACCAAGTTATTTAACTTTTTGTGCCAAAAAACATTAAACAAATAAATATTTTCATAAATAATAAATAAAAATAAGGAAAAGAAAAAACTTTTAAATATTCTTCAAAATAATTTTAGTCAAAATTAGGGATTTAGTATGATGAAGGGTAAAATAGTAAATAAAATTTTTCTAATACAAATTTTAATTAAAAAAGATCTTTCTAGAATATTTTTAACGGAATTCTGATTTTAAAATACAAAGGAGACCTGTGTAATTAAGTCAAAATGTAAGTAAGATTAGAATATTTTACTAAAAAAGCAAAAATAAAAACACACGAGTATACTTATGTAGACAAACTTCAGAGCAAACGGCTCTTGCGAAAACCCCATAAAGGAGTTATAGGTATGAACTATAGCAGATTATCTACACGTGTGAGATAAAAACCAACCAAGTGGATGCTCACAAATTCCATGGGCCACTTCACATATGCGCTTTATGATTATGGAGATGCAAATAGATGTTTTTTAATGGTGTGATTAATGGTATGTAATTAGAAAACAATTATAACTGTTCAGATAAGAAACATGAGGTTGGTCTTCATTCAAAATGATCCATCAAGGAAGTACGGGCTCTGCAATAACTGCAAAGATGTAAGTTTGAGAAAGTGCAACAGAAGAAAAATTGCAACTTCGGATGACGATTCCGACAAGATTTGTACCCCTTTCTCTTTTTTAACGCTTGATCAACGGCAAAAAATCAATTTGAAGAACAACAAACAAAAGTTAAAACAACAAAAGGAAAATAAAAAATGAAGGGTGTTCGAGGAGGATGAGTTGGGAAAGAAAGGGATACCTTTAGTTGTACTTTAGCCGCATCATCGCGGCTTTGAACAGCTTCAATGGCATCCCTTTAATTCTCAAGAATCTAATTGCTTAGCCTTCCTTTCCTTCTCCAATTTGAAGAGAGCCATCTCCAGAAAAATGTGGATTTACAGTGAAGATTAAAAAGAAAAAAAGAAATGTCACCAATAATCATACGTGGCTTCTAATATCGAGATGTGGCCTTTACAATAATGAAGGTAAAATCAAATAATATTTTTTTCTGAAAAAATCAGATTTTTCTTGACAAATAATAACTTTTGACTAGCAAATAAAATTCAATGTAAAATGTGGATTATTTTCTTGGGATGACACAGCCTTAACATGGCTCAAATTAAGTTTTGGATGAGCGAATTTTAATTTATGCAAGTGAAAAATGCCGTGCATCATATTCTTAAAGACCAAAACAAAACAAAACAAAAATAAAACAGCAATCAATAATCAATATAAAAAATTTCAACAAAATATACATAAAAAGCTTTAAATAATCATACAAAACGTGACATATAAATCATCAAAATTAGACCACCTCCAAATTGTATGTAATATTAATGATTTTAATATATTTAAACCATAGCCATACTTTTTGAAATGACCGAGAGTCAAAGAGAAACAGAGGATAAGAAAAACCCCTATTTCTCTGTTCTTCAACTTTGCAACAATGCAACATGAAGATCTGATGCGAAAAGTCAAAGAACTCAAAAATCAAAATGTTCAACATAGCAAGAAAACGGCTGTGCTTCAACAAGCTTTTAAAAATCAACGTACGGTTAGCAATATTGGTACCAATTTAGCAACCCACATACCAGAAGAAGGTTAGGTATTCTTAACTCGGGTGCGCCTTGCTTCTAGTCGTTGCTTTTAACAACATTGTAAAGATCTGAAGCGCTAGAGAGAAATCAGAAGAAGGGACACCAATCAGCACGACAGAAAACAAATCCAGAGTCAAAGAACAGCACAACAAAGATCCATAACCCAAGAAGAGAAATAAATCCACGACCGACCAACAAAAATAAAGCAAAACAAAGTAGATGGGAGATACAGCAGGCATGTGTGAGTTGCTACCTCCGATACCCAGCTGCTTCAAGAACTGCAGATGGCCATGAGAAGCTGCCAAAGAACAAAAGGAAACAGAACATAAAACTCAAATTGGAAACATGAATAATATTGTTTATAAGCTCCTCATGCATGCTAGTTCTCTAAAAGCTAATCTCTAATAGTACGTAGCTGGTCTTTAGTCTATCTTTTTTTTTTTTTGAAAATTTTTAGAATTATGTGAAGTTATATTTCTTATGCTGTTTTGTAATGCTTTAATTGCTGAAATCATTTTATTCTTTTAAAAAACGTACGTTTCTAACATTATACATTTATTATATTTTATAATATTAAAATTAAATTTTATAGTAATTGACATGATCATCAATGTCTCTAAGAAAAGCCACATCCATGGCTTTATATCAGATGAACGGAATGCTTGTTTCAAATCTCAGTGCTATACGATTGCGATGTATTTTTGTCCTTCAGAGCAAATTATGAAGCTGAGAAAAAGCTAAAACCATGTAATTTAATTTAATATCAAATCGAAAAGTTGGGGAACAATCTCATTAACAATATTATTGGTTATATTTCGGATGACGCCTGAAAATGATGGAATTTTTTTTTTGGACTGATGAAAATGATGGAATTTGACAAATTGTTAAGTGTGAAGCAGTGGAGCCCACGCAGTGTGCTTAGTGACATTTAATACTCTTTTTCATATAAAAACTAATTAATTAATTAGAGTTAATTAAAAATGTTAGTTGAATTCGTTAACATGATATGTTTTTTCTAAAATGCTCTAGGAGAGTGTTTGGCAACCTTGCCAAAATCACTTTTGGAGCTCAAACCATGGTTTTAGGATTTAGGCTGCCAAACACCTCATATTTTTATGAAACCATGGTTTGGCTCCAAAATTATGGTTTGACCCCCCCAAAACATTGTTTCATGAAAAGCAAAAAAAAGCTGCTTTTGGAAAATTTGGTCTTTTTTTTTTTTTTACACATTGCAATACTACTTTTAGTCTTTAATATAAGAGTTAGTTAACTAATTTAAGTAGATTAAGAAAATTAATTAAGTTAGTTATTTGTAATAAATATGTATTATTTTTTTTAAATATTCTCTCTAATTATATGTACTAACTAAAAGTATCATTTGATAAAATATTTAACATGTGTAAGTATTACAAGGACTATTTTTAAAAAAATAGATAAATCTGATAAACAAAATAGGCTAGGGTTTTATATTCAGAACCAAATTGAATATCAAAATAGCTCTTATATTAAAACTTGGAAGTAGTATGTTGTTAAAAAAAACTAGCTATAAAAAATGGTATGGGATTTGGTGTTTAAGATCTTTAAGAAAAAAAATATATTTTTCAATTGGCAAAAAAATAATCATTTTTCTGAAAACATATTTAATCTTATATTTTATAAATACATATACACATTAATTATTTATTAATTATATTACTTATAAATTATTTATTATGTTGGCAAAAAAATATATTATTAACAAATTTATTACTTCAAATAAAAATATATTATAAAATTTATTTTTTATGTAATTATCATATTAACTTAATATATGTCTTTTTTAGTAATTTATACATATAAAAAGTGTTTCTGAAAACAACTATCCAAACACTTTTATTTTATCAAAATTACTTTTTTACAAAATTTATTCTTTCAAAATCTATTCTCAAAAATCACTTTTTTTTCCCAAAAGCTATTCTCCAAACTATGGTTTGGTTTTATCCAAACACCTCCTAAGAATCTTTCTTAATTTTCTCATTCCTTTTTCTACTTGTTTATTGTTTAGGAGAATATTAATATGATTAATTTAAAAAAATTGATAAATATATAAAATAAATATTATATATAAGATTAATATTAATTTTTATTTAGATCTTATATTAAAGATAAAAAGAAATAAAAAATATTACTAAAGGATATATGTGTTTAAAAAAATACAGAAAAAGTAGCGCAGATGTTGGGCTGAAGAAAAAAAAGTTACGCATGTCAGAACCTGACAGTTTTCTTAAGAGTACCATTGTTCCGGGAAAAAAAAAAAGATTTGTTTCCATGGGCCGAAAAAGAGTAACTAAGAAATTTTGTTTTTGCCGACAGTAACCAGGAAATTAGAGATAGGCACAACCAGATTAAGCCCATTTACTTATGTACTTTTTTTTGTGCTCCATGTAAAACTCAATTAATTAATTTTGAAAAGATTAAAACAATTAAATAAATTATTATATTTATTTTTTTAAAATTAATTTGTTTTGCATATAAATTGATATACTACCTTTTGTTCTTAATATAAGAGTTCATTTAATTTTTATTTTGGTTCTAAATATAAAACTCTAATTCACTTTGTTTTTTATATTTATCTATTTTTTAAGTTCTAACTAATACACGTAACTAGCAAATATATTTTAAGAAAGATAATACATTTATTACAAATAACTAACTTAACTAGTTTTCTTAATTTACTCAAACTTATTACAAATTCTCTTAATCATTTTAGAAAGATTGTGTAACATATGCTCTAATTAACTAATTTTTCTTGCTTCCTTAATTTTTTCAATTTAGTTAATTAATTTTTATATTAAGAATATGAGGTAATATATTATATTAAGTCAATTTTTTCAAACGAGATTTTATTTGGCCAAAAAATCAGATTTTTAACATATATATTTTTTAATAATAAAAATTCACATGATATATCATAAAAATTACTTTTGAAAAGATTCGATGAATGAATGGATAACAAATGTATATAAGTAAATGATTTAAGTTTTCTCCTTATATAAATTATCTTTATTTTTTGGTCAGGAGTATAAGTTATCTAATTAGATGCACACCTTTTCTAAACAAAAAAAAGTTCTAAAACCTCGTTTATTTTCTTATTTTGAAAACAGTTTGTTCCTTTTTAAAAATAAAAAAATAAAAAACTTTGTTTGAGTAGTTGTTTTGATTTTTTAATTTTTAAAAACAAATAAAAAATTTGTTTGAAAAATAATTTTTAAAAAATCACATTTTGAAGAAAAAAAACACACTAGTAATAGTTATCACTAGTAGTAATAAGTAATAGGTAGTAGAAGAGAAGAGAAGAATATTTCTCTAATTTTTCATTTACCTGCTTTCTTACTTTCATCCTCTGGTTTGAGCATCTTTATTTTTAAATATAATTTTTCAAAACAATTATCCAAAGATAATTTTTTTTTGTTTTCTTATTTTCAAAACTTATTTTTAAAAACAATTTTATAAAATTATTTTGAGGAGAAAAAAAAAAAACAAAAATCCTCTGGCGCAGCCGCATCTCTTGCCATACAGAATCACAGATTCCGCGGCACTTGCAAGCCCTCTCTGAACCTGATGCTTGACGCATCTGCCAGTCTCCCACTAATAGGTAATCCCCGAGTCAATAGCTCATTTTCCTGAACTTAGGTTTGATAACTCTTTCCTCAGTTTTGAATATTCAATTGGCTGTTGTAAATTTTGTATCAGGACAGCTGTGGCTTCAAGTTCATTGGCGATGATATTTTAACAGAGACGAAATTCTTCTCAGGTATTCGCCTGCGAGCAATTTCGAATGCTTACTGCGTGTTATCGATTTGAACGCACCTAGGCCTGGCTCATCTGTTTTGAAGGACTTGTAAATAGGGATTTGGAGAATAATAAGCGAGTGACGAGTAAATTCAGATGCCGAATGAAAGTAAAATCGAAGGTCATGCCACAGTTGCGGTTGATGTGCCTGATGTCGAGAAGCAGGACTCTCGAGAGAGTAACTTATGTAGCTTAGGCGGTGGTGAGGATCTAAAATCGATTGCAGTTTCCCCAACTAAGGGCTACTTGTCTAGGTCTGGAAGTTCCCAAGAACAATGCAGGTATAGTATTCCCTCTTTCCAGTATCCGCATAGATAGCATCCTATAGCTGCACAAGCCTCCCTTATTAGGGAATACTATACATGTCTTTGGCATGGAGTCTGGCAAATGAATTAAATAGATTAGGAATATTGATATTGATTATATTGATTGTGTTTTATGTTGGTATTGATATTGACTAGATATCATGGTGAGTTTGAGTATGCTGAAGATTGGTTCTACTACAACCCTAGTTTTGGGTCTGTATAGGCAACCTAAGCACATTTTATTTGACTAAAATTCTAGTAATCATAGTCTGACTTAGGTATGACCGAGGCAGTTTAGCAAGTCTTAACACCCAAATAACTCAGCGTAATACTAATAGTAAATAAACTCAGTTCCTTGTTACAAATCCTAATTCTACATTTACAAAAATGACATATTTTTATTAAGTGGAATTTATTCTTGTGTCGTTGCAGTATTAGTTGGTGGCTCTCATTGATAAAAACGCTGACATTTAGCTTACCCTATCAAATAACAATCATACCATCGTAAAATGCGGTCTTTATAAAAGATGATGAACAAGGCTCTTCAAAGTTGAGACTGCCAGATTATAATTTTTAATTGTCACCTTCTTTCATTTTCAAATATGAATATGAAAATTCTTTTTTTATTCTACATAGCAAACATTGACATTGGAATTGCTGACGCGCAGCTAAAACTTTGATTTATAGGCAAGTTTCAGATTGGTAGTCGAAGGTGTATGTGAAGTCCTCCTTTGCTATAATTGTGTGCCAAAGGTAGTATATTTATTATAAAATTACAAGTGTTCATTATAATTGTTGGAGGACTTGTAAAATTGAAAAAGAATAAAGGAAAACAGCCTTCCAATGTTGTTGCCAAATCTGCGATTCTTCAGCAAGTACTGTGTTTTTCAGCTACGCACCTACACATATTTTGCACCACCACCATCAAATGCTCCTCGTCTTTCACTCCTCATAGATAAATGCAAATCCATGCACCAACTCAAACAAGTGCATGCTCAGATGATCATTTCGGCTCGCATCCATGACAACTTTGCCACCAGCCGCCTACTTTGCTTTTGTGCACTCTCTCAATTTGGGGATCTCAATTATGCATTCAGAATCTTCAGTAGCGCCTGTCATCCCAATAGCTTCATGTACAACACACTTATTAGAGCTCTAGCTGGCGGCCCAAGTCCCCTTGAAGCTTTGCTCCTTTTCATTGACATGAGGAGGCTTGGTGTTGTACCTGGGAAACACACCTTCCCATTTCTTCTTAAGGCATGTTCTAACTCCTACTCCTTGCAACATTGCCAACAAGTTCATGCCCAGATTCTAAAATTTGGATTGGATATTGATTTACACGTGATTAATGGGTTGGTGAGGGGTTACTCTGTTTCAAACAATTTGGTTGAAGCACGTTTTTTGTTTGATGAATTTCCAGAGAAAAATTTGAGCCTTTGGACAACAATAATCAGCGGATATGCTCAAAGCTATTGTTCAAACGAGGCTTTGATGCTCTTTAATCAGATGATTGCCCAAGGCTTTGAACCAAATGGTGCAACTTTGGCTTCAGTTCTGTCTGCTTGTGCACGAGCTGGCTGTCTTGATTTGGGGGAAAGAATTCACGAATTTATGAAGAATAAAGGGGTTCAAGTGGGGGTGATTCTTGGTACAGCATTGGTTTACATGTATGCAAAGAATGGGGCAATTACAAAGGCTCAAAGGTTATTTGAAAGTATGCTTGAAAGAAATATTGCAACTTGGAATGCTATGATATGTGGGTTGGCTACTCATGGGCATGCTAAAGATGCCCTTATTCTCTTCCAGAAGCTGACAAAGGAGCAGCTTGTACCAAATGATGTCACATTCATAGCGGTTCTATCTGCCTGTTGTCATGCTGGCTTGCTTGATGTTGCACGTGACATCTTTCAATCCATGAAGCCAATTTATGGTATTGAACCAAAGATTGAACATTATGGATGCATGGTTGATCTTCTTGGAAGAGAAGGCAAGCTGTTAGAGGCAGAGGAGCTGATAACAGATATGCCATGGAAAGCTGATGTGGTTATTTTAGGAGCTTTATTGGCAGCTAGCAAAAACAATGGAAATACTAAGCTTGCTGAAAGAGTGGTCAAAGAAATCCTGGCTCTCGAACCTCATAATCATGGAGTTCATGTTGCCTTGTCAAATATGTATGCAGAATCTGGGCAATGGCAACAAGTCTTGAGAATGAGGAAGATGATGAAAGAAGAGAAACTCAAGAAAGCACCAGGATGGAGCCTCGTGGACACTTAGTTGAGTTTCTATCATGTGTAGCAATTAGCAAATAGCTCTGTAGGAAAGGAACCCTAATGCATGTTCATGAATCTGACAGAAGGAAAAGCTGGAATAATGGTGAAAATGATACCAGAAGGAAGGCTTTGATACTATATAGACTAATATGATTGGAATGTTATAATTATTCATTCTGCGGAGAGGGATATAAAAAGAGAGAGGAGCCTTCGCTTTAACTGCTCATAAATACAGAATGATATCCTATCCCTACTTTAATGGTGTAATATCTATGATAATAAACTGAATCTTCTATATCATAACAGAAATAATTCAAAGTCTTGCTTGAGCATAGCTAGTTCCAATGTCAGTCTTTGCTATATTGAATAAGAAATGATATTTATATTTTTATTTGAAAATATTATAAAGTAACCGTTAAAAAAGTATAAAAATTCTCTTCACATGGTAAAAAGTTATTTTTGTTATTGTTTCCGTATTAAGGTTCAGGGCTTCTTTTTCTGCATTCTCCACCGGTCTCTACTTCTATAGCTGTTCTGTATAAGGCTTCTCATGATGATGTTCTCAACTACATGGTGGATGATTCTAAAGATTGATTATTGGGTTTTGAATTTAAATTCTTCCTTAAAAGTTGTTGTTATTTGTTTTGTTGACTAGACTAATTGAGGGTGTGATAGACTACGATGTGGCCAACACAATAGTGAAAGAATTGGGAGAGTGAGAATCCAGTCAACATAAGTGGGAAGAAGTGGTGCAAGAGAGTAGTAACAGTCTAAGTCCATCATCCATGATCTGCACTCATGTTGCATCACTTTACACATCTTAGATTCTAGAGAGTTTGATTAATTGTGTTAGTTTAAGTTGTACCAAAATGTCAATGTGTGATAAAATCATTAAATGCATTTTTATGTCAGATATTTTATAAAGAAAATTGGAATCATTACGTTGTATTGTTTCATCAGAATATGTCAGCAAGAAAAAGAAGAAAGTTTGATAGATCTTGGATGTCAGTGTCGGGGTGGATTGGCAAAAGCGCATCAAACATGCATAGAAACCTGGTTTCGCACAAGAGGATCTAACACATGTGAGATCTGCCAGTAAGTTTTAAATTTCATTCATAACGTGTTTAACAAAACTTTGAAGAGCAGCATCTCAATGTGATGTTTTGACTTTGATTTAAATGCAGGCAAGTAGCTCAGAATGTGTCACCTCCTGAATCCCAGCCAAATGTATGTATCTTACCTTTTTGGTCTTTTTCCACTGGGTCAAAAAGATGCGGTGGACTGGAGAATTATATATGTTGTGTGCTTAAAACTAAACGCATAAGGCTAAAATTTTGAATGTAATTGTATGAAAGATGAAGCACTATCCCTTTCGTTTTCAGTGAAATGAGACAGCTACATGCCTGTGGCCCTTTTAGCTAAGTTCCACATGAAGTTTATGTAATTAATAGGGCATTTGAGTCTGAGGATTGAAAGGTCTGAGTTTTATTGAAGTTAACATCCAGGGGAATATGCTAGAATGGGTAAATTATTGTGTACTCTTTCGCTTCCCTTTGGATTAAGATGCGCCAGCCTGCACCACTGTGGTTTGTCACTTTGTCTTGACAATCATGTGAATGTTAAAACGATTTCTTTTTTGGTTTTTTGGGGAGGGGGTGGTTAACAGTCTTATTATTATTGAGTGGCTGACTCAGTTGTTTCTTGTTTTCCAGAGCGTTCTGGTATTGCTGCTAAGATTGAAAGGTTATTTTGAAATAGAGATAATTAGTAGCCTTAAAATACAATGCAATTAGCCAAAGTATGATTAAACCATAACTTTAATAGTGAATTGTTTTTCATTTTAACTTTAATATGATTACATCACTCAAGATGGGGAGCACCACAGGGTGGTCAAGAGTTAAACGCGACAGATCACACCACAGATTGGCAAATTGAATTCAAAACAAGTCAACCGTGGGGAATCATAATTTACCTGAAAATCCTTTTGATTGGGTTTGTAGGGGTTGCCATGCTTGTGGGCTTCAAAATAGGTGGTCAGTATTGGTGGGGTCTCAGTCACTGGAATCGAAGTTCAATTTTTGTGAGGAATTGAGTTTAGAATGCGAATATAGATTCTCTCATGCATTTATAGGTTTTAACTTCTGTCAATTATGCAGCAGACAGATTACTGGGTATGGAGGATTGACCCGACAATGAGGACACAGGATCGTGAAAGGGTGAGGAGAAGGCTGTCCATTTACTATTTTCATCACAAATATATATCACTTTTGTAATTTGCATCCTATCTTTTTTTCATGACAGGGATGTTTTAGTCCTCTCTGGGTTGCATTTTCAATTCTCATCGGTGGTCTTTTGTTGGATGTGCTCATATCCATCACATTTGGTGTCTCTGCACTACCTGTAAACATAATAATCGGTATTTGCTTAGACTACGCTTTCTGAATTTAGTGCCAATCGTGAACATACCAAGTTAAAAGCAATATTTGTAGTCTTTAAATTGGAAAAAACTACGCAGGTGTTATCATTGTCCTAGGACTTGGCACTGCACTTCGGCTGGCCCTAGAATTCTGCCATGAGTGGGGTTTAAGGAGAGCTGGACAGAGGGTGGAAAGTAATGTGAATCATGGGTACCACCCTGCTGTGTAAGTATACAACTGCAGCTATGGCAAGATCCCGTTATGTTTGGTGCTGTATATACCTTTTCCATTTTCTATTTCAGTCATTCATGAACCGAACACGTTCTCTGTAAATTCTTGTTGCTTTACCTTTCTTTCTCAAAGAGAAAGGTGATTGATCCAAAGGAGGAAAGTACATAATAGGAAAAGATGCGCTTTTTCATACCTTTATCTTGAATTTTTTTCCTGACATTTTAACCTCCCTCCAAGCCCTATGCTTGTTCAATTTGCAAACTGTATATCACATAACCGTTTAAATATCATCACAAGTAGTGAATACGAAACATGCACGGCACTTAGCTGAAGTGGCAAATGCATAATAGAGTTGCGCTTGGGTTGTTTTATTGAGTAGCAGTGGCAAGCACTCAATTTCCATATTTCCTGTATGCACAACTACTTGCCCACCCTACCTTTTGATAGCCATTAGCTTTTGGTTTGGTGTCTTTTGTTCAATTGTTAAAAATTAGACAGGTTTTTGTGTGCATGATGAGCAATTTGATGAATGAGTTGCTCTATTTATCATGATTTGTTAATGTTGTGGCTCACTATAAATTTTATATTTTGTATTTCTGTGCATTGGGTTGAGTTGATCCAATAGTTAATTTTTTTTTTTCATCCTAACAATGGGGTGGGTTGTGGACAACAAAATTTTAGCTCTATAATGCAGCACTAGCCAGTTGTGCGTTGACAACACACACAAAAGCCATTTGGTTCTCAATTCTTCCTCCAACAGCCAAGCCTTCCTTGAATCTTCCTCCCATATGTTGGTTGGCCTGCGTTCATCCACCCATTGAGAGCGGTCTTTTTCTTTTGATTCTTTGCTTTATAGAAGGCGAGGTCTCCATTGCCATGTTAGCTTTGTTTGTTCTCATCCTTCTTGGGGTCTTGTCTTTGTCCTTGAAGACATGCTACCGATTCTGCTTTGTACTGGATCCTGCATCTCTCAATATATACTAGTGCCACAATTTAACTTTGGAAACCTCAGTAGGGAAGGAAGTGAGGGGAGAAAAAAAGTAATAATACTACTGTGGATATGAATAACCCTTTCTTGAACCTGTGGGGCTTTGAGACGAACATTTTGTCGTTGTGTGAGATTGCCTTGATTTAAATTCGTGGTCTGGGGGCGAAAGCAAAATAGTTGAACCATCGAGCACATTTTTCAAGTGCCAACCTCTAATCATCACCAGTGCAGGACGGGTTGGGTTGATAAGGACACAGGACAGAGCATGAAATTTCTCTAACCCTGACAAAGTCTCATGGGTCGGGTTAACTAAATGATATATGATCTGTGAATTGAGATACAATTCTTTTTACATATTTATTTTCAATTCCGTAAATTACTATTAATAAAAAATTAGGGCAGAACAGTAAATTTCTCCTAACCCACCTAGCAAAGGCTCATAAGTTGGGTAACTAACTGATCCGTTTCCAACCTTTAAGGCATTGTTTGGAATCGTAGATAATTAACATTTTATGTAAATTGAGATAAGTTTCACGTGAATTGAAATAATTTTTTTCCACATATTTGTCCTGTCCATAAATTATTATTAAAAAACTGTTTATAAGACATTTTAAATGGACTCTAAGAGTAGTTGAAAACTCAAACCAATTAATTGTTTTAATCGTCAACTTTGGTCAAACTAGTAAAATATGGATTATGGCATATGGCAGTTGGAGTTCAATATATAAAACAGAATTTTGAGTTTAGTGACGAAAGATTTAGAACTTGTTTGGGATAACATTAAAAAATACTTATAAAAATGTTCACATAAGTCGAGATAAAGTTGTACTTGAATACTTAATTCGTATTTTATAAATCATGATTAGAGAGTTATTTAAAAACTATCCCAAACAGGTGCTGTTAACAAATAATTACTTTTGTGTTTTAGTAAATAAAATTCTTTTCGCATATACCTTGTATTGCATAAAGATTACGTAAGTTAATCAGTTTTAGTATGTGAATTTTTTTTTTCAAAAGAAGAAATAAACACAAAAAAAAAAACAAACATGATTTTTCTAGATAGAAAAAGACTTGCATAAATCAAATTGCAAAATTAGGGGGAAAATAGTGACAAAAAGTTATATAGTAGCATGAGAATAATGTTGTTTTGATTGACATTAGTGTGAATTTATTCCTTCATGTACGTTATACGTGTAGGGATGTCTAAATATTAACGAGTGTGTGGCTGCTGTGAAGGGTGAAGGAATAATGCCGCTGTCAATAGGTTCTTATCTGCTTGAAGCCATGGCCATGAGCATCGTTAAGTCACTTTAAACAATCCTGATATTTAGTAGAAGCATATAATACTATAGCACTGAGATTCTTTTATTCCCAGTAAATCTTATAATATACGGACAAAAGCCCATGGCTACATTAGGTTGCAGACAATACACGACAAATAGCAATGTGGGAATATAACTTTGTTCAGCCTTTTAGATATCCTCTTGCATTTAGTAACTATCAAATGTTTTTGTGGAAGCAGATTATGAGAATATATTTTTTTTTTTTCTCTTTGCCTTTGCATCCAAACTCAGCTTTCATTGCTTACGTGCATCCATTGTGTAAAGCAAAATCATTTTGTAAGTATATATACTTTATCCTAATTTTTTTTTAATTCAGTATAATACTTTTCTACTCTTGATTAAATTTTTAACTTTATTCTCTTAACAATTATACAAAAAGAGTTAAGGTGCAGATTTGTTTTGAAAGTTTTCACTTAAGAGCGTTAGACGCTTAAAAATTCTTTTAAACGTAAATTTGTCCCGAAAGTTTAAAATCGCAAAAATTTGCACCAAAAAAAAAAACTTTCAAGTGTCTAACGATCCTATGTGTAAACTTGTGAAACAAATTTTCGCCTTAAAAAAATATTTTTTTTCTGTTAGTATAATTAGCCCCTGTAACTTTGATATGTTTTAAAGGACTAACTGTGCTGACAGAACAAAGTTAGAGGATTTAATCCAGGGATAAATTTACAGATATCGAATTGAAAGCCAAGAAAAAGTATAGATACTTGCAGAATAGTTTTCTCATATCTACAAGACATGGTTTTGGATTCCCTCAAGTGTCGGGCTATGAGCAGGATGTGTACTTGACCCACGATTGGTTTCATTAACAAGAGTTTTGAGAGATACCATTCCCTGTCTAAAAGGTTCTTTTGTCCTGCAATTGGTTTTGTTGAAACTGAGATGATGTTGGCGAAGATTATCCAAAGATATCTACGACGTGAAGAAGCGATGCTAATATTCCCCCCCACATGGGAATATCTTCTATTGCTGGGTTCTTCTTCATATATTGTCCTTAGAACTGCAGCTTTTAATATATATAAATATGCGACCAACTGTTTCCTGCGAATGGCTACCTTGCTCAAAGCTTTTGGCCTCCTTAATTCTCCTCGTCAAGATCATCATCTTCATCTTCACAAGAGCTTCAACAACAAGTTCAACATGCCCAAGGGTCGACCTGTTTCCCTCCAGGTCCGATTTCACCTTCGTCTCTTTGCAAGTAGGATCAGTTATATATGAGTGAGGATAACTATAATCTTTTCTGCTTTGTTAGCTTCAATAACCACCCCATGAACTACGAAATATGTTACTTTTTTCTCAATATGTTTGAACTTTTTTTTTACCTTAATCATGAATGTTTCGAATCCAAGAGAAAATAAGTTAAACTGAAAACTAACCTGGTTTTTTTGTTTTCGTTTTCGTTTTTGAAGAATGATCAGAAGCTTGTACAGTTATACTTTTGGGAGAATCATTTTTAAGAAAGATGGAATAAAAGATCTAAAAGAAAACGGAAAACCTGAGGCGAGAGTGTGTGTGGGTGTGAAGGTAAAAGTTAAAAAGTAACTAAACAAACAAGCATAGTATGAAGTGGAAGGAAGTTTGGTTGGGGAAAAAATTCAATAAATTATGTGGCAATTAAGAATGGGATCTCTGAAAATTGTTGTTCTTTCAGACGGTTGTACTTAAAGTAAGGATGTGCTGCACCGGTTGCGAAAGGGTTGTTAAAAACGCCATCTACAAACTCAAAGGTGAGCCTATCTTTCTTTCTTTAAAGTTAAAGACCATATAACATTTATCTAACTGGTGTGGACTTTATTAAGCAAACTAGTTAAAATTAATTATTTATTAAAAATATTTGTTGATCGCTTAAAAACACTCTTTTAAATTATTTGCATTAGAAACTGTCACCCTTTGATGCAAATTATCTTAGTATATATAATAGTTAAAAAATATGAAAGACAAAATAAATTTAGGTCTTATATTTAAAATTAAATCCAATTCCCAACTAACTCAAGTGATAAGGATTGATTGAAGTATGAATATAGAGACAAAGGGTTCGAAGTAAGAATGCATTCATTGAATTCATGTGGAGAAATAAATAAAAAAATTGCATACAATGCATATAGATGAAAATTTACTTCTTCACCCCTTTCATCCACAAAAAAATTTAGTTGTGCTCCGATGAAAACATATGATTTAAAAAAAATTTTAAAAATATTTAGTAGTTAGTATTTATTTTATCATATCTATCTATTTTTTTTATCGAGCTAAGCCATATACCGTAAAATGTCATAGGAATTGATTCAGTGGAAGTAGAACTGGAAATGGAGAGGGTGACTGTTACTGGATACGTTGATAGAAACAAAGTGCTTAAAGCAGTTAGAAGAGCGGGGAAGCGGGCTGAGTTCTGGCCATACCCTAATCCACCACTTTACTTCACATCATCTTACAATTATTTCCAAGACACAACAAGCGATTTCAAAGAGAGCTACAATTACTACAGACATGGCTATAATATGGCAGATAAGCACGGCAACATTCATGTGTCTCAACGTGGAGATGACAAAGTTAGCAACTTTTTCAATGATGACAATGTCCATGCTTGTTCTCTTATGTAGTCTCTTATCATACAAACACTTCACCAATATATGTATTTATATATATTATTACAATGTGTAAATTAAATCATGTCTCAGATCCTTGTTGGTTGAATGTGTACCCTTACTTTTTATGTGTACTATAAACTAAATCTTATACTACCTCCGGTGCTAATTATAAGAGCCAGTTGACTAATTCGAGGAGATTAAGGAAGTAAGTTGAATTAGTTATTTGTCCTAAATAGGTGTTGTCTTTCCTAAAATATCCTTACTAATCAAGTGTATTAACTATAACTATAATTATTAGAAGGACTATCTTAGAAAAAATTGAATAAATATGAGAGACAAAGTGGATTGGAGTCTTATATTTAGGATCAAAATAAAAATCAAACAGGATCTTATATTAAAGACCCGAAGTAGTATTTAAGACTAGATGTATTAAATTAAATTAATCTGTTATATGAAAGGTTTGTGAGTTTGGTTTGTCATGGCCATTCTCTAGTCGTGTCACATACATGCACCGGTGTTTTGATCATACTAACACTTTTTTATGTTTGATGAAATATTATGCTCACACATTCAAGCCTCTTGAAAAAAACTCGAAATAGCAGAATCCAAGCCCCCTAAAACTGGATTACTCAATTGGCAGTGGAAAAAACAGCTTATTTCTAATCTGATTTTTAAAAAAGTAAAATTAGATAAAAGTTAAATTGGATAAGGTGAATTGTGTTTGGGTTAGAGTTTTAAAAAGTTAGTTTGTAAAAGTGAGATTGATAAAAAGTTGTTTAGATTATGATTGAGTAAAAATAAATTTGTTTGATTAAAAGAAATGAGACATACATTTTGTCTTTTTTTCTCCGCTTTTCCAACTCTATAAGTTACCATTTTTAGCTTTTGGCTTAAATCTATGATTTTGGCATAAACTCTTAATTTTTTAAGCTCTTTCAAATACACTCAAACATATTAAAAGCCAAAAGTTATTTAAAAACCACTTAAAAGCCTCCAAACAGGCACTTAGTGGGTATTCGGATATAAGGGGAAAAAAGAAACAAACAAACAAACCAACTAAACTAAATGTACACAAGCCACATATAAGAAAGCTGATAAAAATTTTTAAATTTTAAAGATTGAAATCAAATAAATAGTTTAGATTCGGCTTCACACATTTTTTTATCGGGCCAGTTTACTTTTTTGTTTGTTTGTTTTTTAGGCAAAGCGAGTATATTTCAGGGAAAACTGGAATTAATAACCTCTTGAGAAACATATATAAGGGGAAGGACCTAGAATGCAGAATACGGAAGAAAAGATACAGAATGACTGGGAAAAAAAAGGATATAAAGTATGGGAGATAAATGGCAGATTTTTCTTATATTTTTACTAATAATAGATAATAGAGGCTAGCTGCTGCTACTTACATTGTTTTAAGTTGGTCGATTCTTTAGCATATAAGATTACATCAAGTTAGCCATCCTCTCATTATCCATTCCTCCAAACAACATGGTGGTGGATGATCAAAAGTTAAAAAATAACTAAATAAAAGATCATTAACATTTTGAAAAAAATATATTTTCTCCTAATGGCACAATTTATTATTTTTAGGCCAAATATGAGCACAAATTTTTCTGAAGTTCCTTTTTTTTTAATTGGGAAAACAGTGGAGTTATATTTTCCCTCAATTTTTAATTCAATATATATGATATATATTAAATTAAAGCTTTTCTCTGTTAGCAAGGTTAGTGTTGTAATTTTACACAGATGCTAACAGAAAAACAAATTAAATATTGTATTTTTTAGCCAAAAAAATAAAAATTTCATTGAAATAAAAAATATAGATAGCTATTAAATTAAAAATTGAGAAAAAATGTATAATTACCTCAAAAATTTTTGTTTTTTGTTTTTAGTAAATAAATTTAGAACTGTTGGACTGGGGCCTCCAAAATCCAAATCTTAAATGGATAAGCAGGCGGGTTCGGGCGCCTCTCGGAGCAGAGGTATTCTGGATTGGAGGTAAAATTGGACGGACTTGAAAGAATCCATAACCCGAAACCGCTTAGACTTCGACGACTTTGAAGAGTTCTTCGTCTCCGGCGTTGGTGCCATCTTCCGTTGTCTTGCGCGGGTACAGAGAAATTTGTCCCAAAAAAAAAAAGAAAAAAGAAAAAAAAACTAGGAGATCCTGCATCAATTTACTGGTAATCCAACAGATTCACTGCATGTGTTTCATCATTATCGTTATCTAAGATCTCATGAATTTCATTTGTTTATTTATTTATTTATTATTATTTTTTTTGAGCTGAACATTGCATGAATTGATATCGTAGTTTTCTACTTTTCATATTCCCCCTGTCAGGTGAACCGCTGCTGAGCCTGTTTCCGTTCGAATTCCCCAACGCCGCCGATTTTTGCCGCTCTGTTGCTCTGGCTCGGAGTAATCTGTGGCGGAGGATTTAGGTTTTCGGTTTATTTTGCTGAAGAATTTCTGGGCCGTTGTATCTATGTATTTTGTTCGTGAGGGTTGACCAGATCCCGTGATAAGTGAAGCCATGAAAGGGCGCTCGCACCGCCTGCAGAGTTCGGACCCTCCTGACGACTGGATTGATGGTTCTTGGACTGTGGATTGCGTCTGTGGTGTGAATTTTGACGATGGGGAGGAGATGGTAAATTGTGACGAGTGCGGTGTATGGGTGCACACGCGGTGCTCGCGATATGTCAAAGGAGATGACAAGTTTGCATGCGATAAGTGCAAGAGCAAGATTAATCGATCTGATACGGAGGAAACGGAGGTGGCCCAATTGTTAGCTGAGCTCCCTACGAAGACTGTGAGAATGGAGAATTCACTTGCACCCATCGGAGCTCCTCGGCGTCCTTTCAAGCTTTGGACTGACATGCCTATGGAGGAGAGGGTGCACATTCAAGGAATTCCTGGTGGCGATCCTTCCCTTTTTGGTGGGCTATCCTCTATTTTTAATCGGCAGCTATGGAAATGCACTGGGTATGTTCCCAAACAGTTTAATTTTCAGTATAGGGAATTTCCCTGTTGGGATGAGAATTCCACTAGGGAGGAGGATAGTGAGAACCCTATTAATAAAGGGGCGGGTGTTCTATTTTCCTTGTCAAAAGAGAGTAAATCGGTCACACCCATTGCAACTTTAGTTGACATGAGAGCTAGGGAGGGAGAAGATGGTTCTGACCTGAAGAAGTCGCTGAAAGAGATGAAAAAGTGTGATAGTGAAGATGCAGAAGCTATAAGGCGTGCCCAGAGTGGCATGAAGAAGGAGAGAAGTTTGCTTCGGTCTGTTGTGCATTCAGGTAAGCAGAAAAAAGAAGAGTTAGGAACATCCAAAGATCGCAGTGGGAAGAAGAGGATTAAAACTTCGGACAAAGAGGTAGATCCCAAGGGGAGAACTTCACATTCTTCGAAAACAGGTTAATTAATTTGCTTTTACTTTATTTTGAGGTATATGCTGTTATCTCTCTCGCGCACACGCTTCTCCAACTTTGTGATAGTTGGTCTCATGTTTTCTCCTACTTTGAAAGCTTAACTTTAGAATTAAGACCCTGTTGGTTGTTTAAATTTTCAAAACCCTTCTGTTATCTATCTGTATGGAAATAAAAATAAAAGGTGGCTTGAAAACTACTAATATATGCATGTCAAAACACTAGTTGTTATTATTATTAGTGAAAATTCTAGCCACATTCCTCATTCAATTATGGCACCGATTCACATGCTTCCAGACTTGCCATGCGCTTGTTGACTCGCCTTTTTTTCTTTTTCTTCCTTCTGATTTTACTACTAGCTTTTACACCCACCAGTGATGCAAAACAATTGGAATTTTATGAAGACAGAGGTCTGAAGAATTTCAAGACTGATGATACCTGGAGCTTAAAGAATAAAACTTTGAAAGACATTTTCGTTCAGGAACACGTTTCAAATAATTATTCTGTTGTGGATACCATTATGGAGGAGCCAAATATCAACTCGGCAACTACTGAGGATTCTTCAGAAGCCTTATATCCTGACACGACAAGACGTAGTTTTTCAGTCGTGCCAGAAATAGCAGAAGAGAAAAATGAAAATAAAGCTCCTTCTGTTTCTGAATTTTCTTCCAAGACTGATGACAACATTTCGCCATATTTAAAGAATAATTCTGATGGAAATGCTTCAATCAAAGAACAGGTATGTTTTACTGCCACCTCAATTCTTAATTATCAAAGTTCTGGTAGATGAGATTTTATATTTTTATGGTTATCAAAATCATTAAAGTGAAAAAAGTAGTTTCTTCTTTTCAGCTCTGTTTTCTTTCCTCTCAATAAGCTGTGGCTGATTTCAAAAGCATTTGATCGCCTGATCTATTTATTTCATTACCTAGAGCATGTAATTTAATTCAATACCTGCATTTCAGCTCGAGCGTTTAAGTGAAGTCTGTGTACTAACATTTGGAGAATGTTCTTTTTAGAGGTTCTGAAAATTTTTAATATTATTATGCATGCATGGCTTGGAACATGCTTTATCACGTGTGCTTTTAGGCATATTCTTGTGCTAAGTTGTGATTATATGTTTTGTTTCTGCAAACAAGGAGGGAGATGGCCTTGTGGTTAATAATGCAGATGACAGTACAGTTGTAAGAAGAACAGTAAGTCCTGCAGAGGAAGAGCTTTGTGGTCCTGCACCAGAACACAAGGATAACCAGGATTCCCAAGATTTTGACTATGAGACGTGTCCTGGCTCTGGACAGAGCAATCCTAATGTGAAGAGAGAAGGGGTTACTGATAATTTTGGGAAGCATTTGATTTCTCATTCTTCTAGCATGGGTGATCTGAAAAGTGATGAGAAACTGCCTAAACACAAATCTGATCATGTTAATGATAGTGTGGTGACCAATTCATCCTATGAAAATAAGGTGGACGACAGTGACAGAAAATCAGAAGTAATCATTGATTGCCATACCAATAATCCTGAGGAATTATCATGTCATTTTTGTTCTGTAAAACAAGAAATGGTAGGATCTGAAGGTCCTGTGGAAACCCACAAGGGTATTTCAGAAATAGAAGGTGGTTCTGGCTATGCTGAAGATGCACCAAAATCTGAAACTACATTGTGTCCTCATACAATGTCATCATGTCTTGGGAAGTCATCCTCAAGTTCCTCAACTATGAATTCCAAAATTCCTGCTAGTGACAAAAAATCTGACCAGTCTGAAATTCCTAATCCTCTTGTCAAGCACGGAGTAATGGAAGATTGCAACATGCACAGTAAGAAAGAAAGTAATCAAAATGATATTGTGAGGGATGAAGTTCCTAGGAAATCTCAAAAGGAACGTTCAAAATCATCTTCAAATTCTAATCTGAAAGCAATGCATTCAAGCAAAAGTGCACAAAATGCTATTTTAAGGCAAGTCAGTGCAGATTCAAAAGATTTTGTTAATAGTTCATCTTCTAAAGCATCTGGGGTTCATCCAGCTGGAACTAACTTAGGCTTGAACGAGTCTGATGAATCATCACTACACCAAAAGTCTTTACAAGCGCCTAATAAGATTTCATCTTCAGTACCACAGAGAGGTGAAAAGATTAATCAGACAAACTCCCAACCTTCCTCTAAGGTGAACCAGAATCACGTGCCATCACCTTCACCAACATCTAATTCTTCTGCAATGCTAAGCGATGAGGAGGTTTGAGCTGGACTCCTTTTTGTTATATTTAAACTCCTTAGAATGTGATGTTAAATGATTTTTCTTTCTAGTTTCTTATTTTCTTCTCAATCTTCTTCATCTTTGTGTTTTTTGGGGTGCAGCTTGCACTACTATTGCACCAAGAACTAAATAGCTCTCCCCGAGTTCCTCGTGTACCCCGAGCACGTCATGGGGGTAGTTTGCCACAGCTAACTTCTCCTAGTGGTGCAAGCATGCTATCGAAGCGCACGTCATCCGCTGGAGGAAAGGATTATTGTTTGGTAGGGTTTGTGCAATAATTTCAAATTACAAATGTGGCATTTCATACCATTTTTTCCTTTAGGAGTTTACAGTTTCACAATCTTGGTGACTGATTTCTTATAAATTGTTCAGTTTTCCAGGAGAAAATACAAGGATGCATCTAGAGATGGGCTTTGTGGTTCCCGTGAACTTGAAGATGAAGCTAAAAGGATAGAGAATGCATCATCTTCCTTTGATCAGAAGAAAAAAGATATGGAATGCGGGGAAGGTGCTTCTGTAATGGAAGAAGGCCACATATCTATGACAACCATTAATTCTACAACAAAGAATGTTGCTCCTGCCTCTGCTGCCACTGCAAATAGTAGTTCAGCCTCCCCTCCTGAGGATCAAAATTTGTCATTTATACGCAACTCACCAAAAAATATATCTGACGATGATAATGGAACTGCTGGAAGGCCAGCCCATCGCACGTTGCCAGGTAGGGGCCTGTCACCTCCTCCCTGAAAGTTTATTTTATATGTAAAAATCCTGTTCCTTCTCATGTTTAGATCTAGGAATTTTTGGCTTTTGATGTTGGTCTTTGAAAGTTCCGGTGATTGGCTTATCAAAGCCGTTTAAATTATTTTAGATTTGATTCATGTTTCTAGGACGTTGACAAGACGTAGATTGATGGATTCTATGGTGAAATCACTTGTTCAATTTGTGGGCAATGAGTTTTTTAATTGTTTATGTAGAGAAATGTATAAAAAGAGGGGAAACAACTCAGTGCTTGCATCAGAAAATATGCCCATTGTTTCTCATCATATTTATTTGTGTTCAGGTTTGATCAATGAGATTATGAGCAAGGGTCGTCGGATATCATACGAGGAACTCTGTAATGCTGTGTTGCCAGTAGGTTTCTCGTTCCTGGTTTCTTGCTACGGCTTTTTTTCCCCTCCCCATTACAATGATTCAGGAAGATAAATTGTCCATAAAAAATATTTTGTGTTGTTGCAGCACTGGAATAACTTGAGGAAGCATAATGGAGACCGCTATGCTTACACAAGTCACTCTCAAGCTGTTCTTGATTGTTTGAGAAATCGGCATGAATGGGCAAGGTTGGTCGATCGTGGTCCGAAGGTGCGTGCTTGTGGTTATCAAGTGAATATTTTTCTATTACCTAATTGAATTGTGGTGAAGGCTATATTGTCAGAAACTCACAAAGTCAAGGTTGGGGTGGGGTTTGGGTTTGAACTTTTTGAGATAAAATTAAATTTAACAAAATTGTGATACTTGTAATGATAACCGTGGCGTCACTTTCATTTTATTGGATAAATTGGAAAGCTGTTGCAAATATTTTGTATTGCCAAGTAAACCATTTAGTGCTAATTGTACCATATTGCAAATTGCATTGTTTTTATTATTGCCTTTAGGGAATTTGGCATTAAACGGGGGGCCTTGTTACAATTGTTTTGCCACGTAATGAATTTGGGTTGAATTTGGGTTCAGGCTGGAGTGGCAAGGTTGGTCATGGTTGCATATTGACTTGTAACCAGCTCCTCTGATTACGTGAATGTACACTTTCAAGTCCTTACCTTTGATTTCTGTAATATGTCTATAATTCTAATTTTGAAGGATGCCATCGCTTCTGGACTGACTATATGTTTTACTTCTTTGGAATCATTGATATGTAGCTCATATTCATTAAAGTTGACTTGGCATAACATGGGTGTAATAATAGTTTAACTTATAGAAGAGTGGGGATTGTAACAACTGCATAGGTAGGCTCGCCAACTGGAACTTTACTCATATCACCTATCAAAATTTTGGATGACCCCCCAAAAGTCCATGGAGGATTGCTTCACTCTGATATCTTAGGTGGTGCTATACCCTGCCTGCTTTCTGTGTAGTCTTGTGTTTTCTATTGGTTTATTCATCAAGGGAAAAAAACAGGTGGGGAGGGGATACGGAGTTGTTTGTGAAAAATGGAAGTTCAAGGTGCTGCAATCGACTACTGCAGCCGACATTGCAATCGTGTTCAGTGGTTTAGTTGTGATTGTGTAATATGATAGAGTAGTACTGTATACTGTATGGTTGCGGGGAAAAAAACAAAACAAAAAGAAAGGAACCACCCATCTAGTTCCCTGCTTTATAGATGTGCAATTACTTTCCATGTTGTCGTTTACAAAGTGTCTAAAAATAGATAAAGCTTAATCTGAATATATTTTCCAGACAAATTCTACTAGGAAAAGGCGAAAGTTTGATGAAGAATCTGATGATAATGTTACTGGCAAGGGCAGAGCTTCCAAAGGGGGTGAAGGGAAGAATTTTGAGTTGCAGAAAGAAGAGTTCCCTAAAGGAAAGCGTAAAGCACGGAAGCGCAGGCGTCTCGCTCTTCAGGGGATAGCGGTCAAGACCCGGAGAAGAAAGGTTGATTCTCTAACTGATGAAGATGTTGGTCCATTCTCCAATTCTAGTGAGGAGAGCGAGTTTAGCGAGGATGAAATTCAGGGTGGCAGAACGGGTCAAGTGGGAAGTGAAGCTTCTTCTAGTTCAGACGAGGAAGGTAGCGCCTGATTGCAGGCTGGTTAAATAGATCCACGGGGTCGTCTCTGCCATGCTTGTTTGACTTTTTCGTGTTGTGAGCATTCCAGCTTCTTCGGATTCACAGCTCATGAAAGACACAGCTGGCGGGCTGCTCGGGCAAGTGGAAGGATGTGTGGTTGTTTTCTGTGAAATCCTGGACCTTGTTGGGCTGTTTTCTGTGACATGTCCCGTGGTGGTTGGATAGTCAGCTATGGTATTAATACTGTATTGTATATATGTCCTGCGGCAATAGTGCGCCCTTGTAATGCACGGCTGATAATGATAACCTGTTAATGGAATTTGTAAGCAGCATAGTATAGGATTCAGTTAGTGAGCTAGACAGAATGTAGGACTGGATTGTCATCAGTAATTTAAATTTTAGAAGCTTCACCTCGATTCTGATTGGGAATTATTGGTGGTTTTACCTTTTGCCTAATGATTTTTCCCACTTTGATTGTTGTTTCAGCTGGAGTAGGGAAGTGTGAAATTGAGTTTCTGAACCATTGCAAAAGCATTTAGACTCTTTGGCTATTTGCTTTTTAAATTTAATTTGAGTAGGTTAAGCTTTCAAATTTGCTTTTTATCTTGGTAATTTCATTAAAAAGAAAAAATAATAAAAATAGCCTTTAATTGTACTTTTTTTAAACATGTTTTTATTTTAAGTTACACAAAATTCTCCCGAGTTTCGAACTGTATACAACTACCTCCCTTAAACATTTAAAGCTTAATATGCTACCCTGAATTTTAAGTTTGTGACAATAACCTTCAGCACACACTATGTTCCCTTGAATTTGATTTTTGTATGCATAAAATCCCACAGATTTTAAGTTACATACATATAACTTCAACTTATGTGTAAATAAATAATAAATAAACCAACAAAGCTTGACACAATTAGTAAGTGACTAGGTTCTTTAAACATGACATCTTGGATTCAAACTAAGCCGTGTGTATAGAGCTATCAGTTGGAAGATACTGCTTGGTTTTTACTAAAAAGATAATAGATAAAATAAGAGGAGAATTTTCTATATAAATTTAAGAATTTATGGAGATTTATTGTAAGATTGAAGGGACTTGTGTATAATTTAGCCTAAATTTAAACAAGAAAACCGTAGTAGTGATTTGGTTGGCTGTGCATCACGTGCATTTTGAATTATGGCTTGTTTAATAGGAGCGAACCGTACATATACGGGAGCTTAATAACTGAAATTTCAATGCGCCTCTTAGACGTAGCCAACTCTGTAACGTATATGCACTAGCTTGCAAAGTTTACTTAACTTCATGCTATTCGTTCATTACTTGTTTCCAAAGTAAAGGAGACTACTCCATTTCATTGTCTTCTTCCAAAGCAACCATCGTACACCTTTCCCGTTCCAAATCCTTCACCCTTTTCTTTTCTTTTCTTTTCTTTTTTCTTTGAATTAGAGGAGAAGGCACTAATTTTTAGGATGGAACCTCTAACTCTAACCTCTCACTGATAAGGGACTTTTCTTGCTACTAGGATATGAAACGATTGGCCTGAATCTTTCACTCTAAAACTATGCAGTTTCATAATGGGATTGCCAGGTCTTTGAACCTAAACAAACGTGTCTTTTGCCTTAACTTTTTGCATGCATAGGAAACTAATGAATGTTGAGACTTTATCTTGAAAAATTTGCGAGATTTCTTTATAAATAAGTGTTCTTTTTATCGATAACCTATTCATAATTTTTTCATGCAATTACGGTGTTGAATGTGCTGATCTTTAGATGAATATTTAAAAGTCATTTCTCAAGCTCTTCTCCAATTGAGACTCTTGTGAAGTTGATTACTTGCCCCACACAGTCACTGATGTTGACGCATATAAATTGCAGAAAACTACAAAGTCGGAGGTTATACATGTGATTGTTTTGTGTTGGAATGGCACTTGTGTTGTGGCTGCTGCTTTAATTGAAATAGCTTCTAAGCTAAGGCACTTTGCATACTTGTAAGGGAAAATAGTACTTGTTTTAAATAGTAATAGGATTTTTTAAAATAGCTTTTTAATCGTAATTCAAAAATAGAAAATAAATACGTGAGAAGGGTTTTATTTTAAATCATGCGTACAAGTGCTTCTAGAGTGTCCAATTATAATACCGGATAAGTACTAAAATATGTAACAAGTCAACTTCCTCCTACCTTTGATTTTTCAGAAAATTGGTTTAAGTTTTATCATGATTCAAGTGAAAGCTTCACGATATTGTATAGAATGATATATATATATATATATTATATATATTTTAGTGTGAGGACAAATGGTAAAAAGTGACATTCATTATATCAGAACAAATTTGGATGACACAACAAAAGGAAAAAAAAGGGGGAAGCAAACAGGAGGAAATTCTCTTAGGTCTTAACTGAGTCTTACACATTAAAACTCTATTTGCTCTTCCTTCACCTAAACCATTTTAGGACAAACAGAATGTAGGAGCAATTCTTTAAGAAATTTTATTGGAATTGGAAACGCTAGAGATGCTTTTTTATCCATAGAAGCTAGAGATGTCATCATCATCGGCAACCTGAGAATCTTCAGCTATGTGCATTATGAGATTTTATTTATGTTGGTGACGTTGTGTTTTTCATATGGTTGCTTGCTGCATTATTCCTCCAACTACAACAATTTTTGAAGTCTTATCACAATCGTTTATTTTTCTTAGATACTTGGGATAACTTGAGCAATTGCGTCTTAAGTGAGCAAGGCATGTATTGTATGAGAAAGGAAAAGTCGCTTCACATCTACATTTGGAAGGATCTCTACGCCAGAGACAAAATGAAATGAACTGAACAGCCTCGTTTTGTTTTGTTTTTGTAGTCACTACATCATCACTAAAAATTGTACTATTGCTCCCTCTATCAGAAATAACTATCAAGATCACATGGTTCAAAATATTAATTAAATTTAATTAAAAATAATAAATATGTAAGATATATATACATATTTTTTCAACTGTACTACCTCCACTCTTTAATACAAGAGCTAATTGAATAGATTAAAAAAACTAGTCAGGTTAGTTATTTGTAATAAATATGTGTTGTCTTTCCTAAAATATCTTTGTTATTTAAGTGTATTGGTTAGAACTACAATTATTATAAGGATTAATTTGAAAAAAATGGATAAATATAAGAAATAAAATGGACTGGAGTTGTATATTTAGAACTAAAATAAAAGTCAAACGAATTCTTATATTAAGAATCGGAGGCAGTATCATTGTTTGTACAAAGACTACATGAAAAAGAAAGAGTGAAAACTTAATGCAGGGGGATAACAAGTGACATATTTAATAAGGATAAAAGTGAAATGATTAGTTTAAAATTTCAAACAAAAAGAATTTGTTTTTATATTTAAGGACACCACTACGACAGAAATTGTGAATGGAGGGAGTATATTGTAAAAAAGTTAGACTATGTATTGTAATAATGTGCCTGTTTGGGAGAGCTTGAAAAATCCCCTATAAACACGTTTCACGTAAGTTAAGACAAAACTTTTTCATATATTTACCTCGTATTTTATAAATCACTATTGAAAAACTATTTATAAGTTGTTCTAAACGGGTTCAATATCTATTTGTGATATTTTAATTTTGTGCTTTTTTTGTACCCCGTCCTTGAGGATTCATTTTACTTGCATAAAACATGAACCACGCGGCACAGCCACATTAATGCGAAAGTAAACCGTTTTCTTAAAATTTTACTACGTGAAAAAAATTACGAGGCAATTTGAAAACTTAGAAAGACCATTTTCATTTTTCAAACAATTCAAAGATTATTTTATAACATAATATAAATGGAATATACATATATACCTTCTTTTATCCTAAAACCAGACCCTTTCTTTTAAAATTTTTTTTCCCTCAACACTTGGATAAAAATTGAAACCAATCAAGTTAAAGGATGGTTTGATTAAAATTTTAATCCATTTTGAACATCATACCATAAAAATATGATTAAAGTGACCTCATTTTTGCGAAAAGAGAAACTTTTAGCATGTAATAAAACTTAATAGCATTAATATTCTTTATAAATAAGAATTAATTTTATATGGAAATACAAGAATACACTGTAATGTAATTTTGTAATAATAAATAAGGTGGCACACGAGCAGTTAGAGGACTCACGGGTAACCAAACAGAAATAGAGAGAACAGGCCGTTGAAAAAGACGGTGAAGATTTCTCCTATTCATTTCTTTTTTTCGGATCAGGACTCCTTGCCTGCAATCTAGGGTTCGTCGAATATACTGGTCTGGTTTCAGTTTTATTTCTTATTTTTCTTGAGGTCCAGTCCTTGTTCTTTGATCTCTTTAATCAATCTGCCAAGCCTGAGGTATGTTGCATCTTTCAATCCTTAATTGTTCTACGCATTGGGCTTATTTTCGTTTCGAGTTCATTTAACTCTCATTTGACCATTGATCTATACGGATTAGGACTTGAACTTGATATCTTCATCCTGTTTTGGGTCGAGATAATCCACTATGACGATCGCTGATTCAGGTTGCCTGATGGACAATGGGGCAAGTTGCTTACCACTTCCGCCGGAGGAAGAAAATCGGATCATATCAGAATTGATGAAAGAATCGGAGCTTAATTTAAAAGAAGGCAACATATACTATGTTATATCTAATAGGTATTGTCCTTTTCTTTTGTTTCTTTTTCCAGTTTCTTTAAAACAAACTTTTGATGAAGCCGTGCGTGAATGTTGATATCGGATTATTTATGTTTCTTATTCTGGAGCGATTATCTAGCTCGACGAAAAGTAAATCTTGGGCATGTTATATCCTTCTCTTATACTGCGGACGGTCTATTTTGGCGAGGCTTCTATTGGTCTGTTCCTCGCTTATGGACCCCATGCAAGATGCATTGTTTTTATTCAATTTTAGTGCTAGCTAGTAAGGCTTTACATGGCACGCTCAATCTCTGTTAAATCTATCTTTGTGAAGCCGGGGTCTTTCAATACAGCCACCAAGTGGCTTCATTATCAATTTTGATATTTCTTGGTTATTCCGGAGTAATGGGAGCTTTTACGTAGACTTCCACTTTGCTTGTATTATTCTGTCAAAATGGCCGGTTTTATTATCATCTATGCAAGAAAAATCATTCCTTCAAATATTTAATAATATGTGTTTGTGTATATTATAATGTTTATTTAAAAATAAATTAAGATATACGAATGAGTAAAACCAGAGCAAATGAATATCCAACAAGGTTCTGTATGATAATTTTCGCATCACATGCAATTTTAAGTTTCTTTATGCTTCCAACGCAGGTGGTTTTCAGTGTGGCAGAGGTATGTTGGGTTTCGTGTTGGGATATTTTCGGCTGAGGAGCAGCCTTCTAATTGTCAGGAAGACAATGAGGTTCGGTTAGAGGCTGCTGATAGACCTGGGCCAATTGATAACTCCAATATTATTATGGATAGCAATAGTTGTGAAGACAATAGTCCAGATATTTGCAGAATGTTGGTTGAGGGGGTGGATTATGTTTTAGTTCCTCAAAAAGTTTGGGGAAAATTGTTTGAATGGTAATATTTTTTTACCTTTACTGCAAATATGATTGCTGCTTTTTTTTTATCAGGAGAAGTGCGTAGCATGTCTAGATGAAAGAATGATTTAATGCACCTGTAGTCTTAAAAAGGATGCAGATAACAATACATTTTATCTTCATTGTTGTATTTTCAAGGAGTCACATGATTAGCCATATTTTAGGACATGATGCAATTAGTGACAGGTTGTTCTAGGGGTTTAAGGCTACGCAATTTCTGATGTTGGACTCTTTTAGTCTCTTTCTAATGGGCATTCAAGGGGCATGGCCAACTTTCTCTCAAAAACTAACTATTGGGGTGGGAGAATGAACCCACTTAAATCCATCCTGGTTTTAGTTCTTAATGCTCAAAATTCACATCAAACATTCCACTAAAAAAAAAAAAAAGACACATCAAACCTAAGGATGTCTTCGACAAATTGTGCGGGTACTAATCAAGTTTTCTTCTTAGATGATTAATATTGCTTGAGTTCTAGGATTAACTGCTTAACTACAACTGTCTAGGTACAAAGGTGGACCAGCATTACCAAGGAAGCTGATTTCACAGGGTATTGGGCACAAGCAATACAATGTTGAGGTTTACCCGCTTTGTCTAAAAGTGACTGATGCTAGAGATGACAGCATGTCAATAGTAAAAATGAGCAAAAAGGTAGAAACTGTTTTCATTGTAGGCTCTTTTGTTCTTAGTTAGCTTCACTCTGATTCTTAGAAAAATGGCTGCTTTGGACTCTGCGGATGTCACAGCATGCTTACTGTATGAAGTGGTTATATCTATCTGAAAAATTGCATTTTTCTTACATGTATTTGAGATATTATATCATAGATCATCTTGTGCACTGCTATTAAAGCATGAATTAAGTTTTGACGGATGGAATATTTTAAGAGCATGGTCTACATGATATGATTTTTTGATTTGGTGTACAAGGCCTTTTACTTTATGTTGAATCTTGAAACACAAGACTGCCGATTGAATAATTTTTCCATCTGGTCTGGATTTTTTCTCTTTCTTCTAAATGAGTAAATTATTAGAATAAATAGATTATCATTGTGGTTCTTATCTTAGTTACATGTGATGTATTTCAGGCTACCATAAATGAGCTTTATGAGACTGTGTGCAAACTGAGAGGGGTGGAGCGACAAAAGGTGCTTTCTTCCTTGCTTTCTTTCTGGCAAGTGTTTTTGTGTGTGTGTGTGTGTGTAATTTGTTACAAAAATCTTATAGTGCGAACCATGTAGCGGTCTTTCTTAGTGGGATAAGGCTTCTTGTTATTATTATAGAATGTTACAGTTCCTCATACTTTGTTTATTTGATTTTGTTGGTTTCAAATAATATTAACAGGCCTGTATTTGGGACTACTTCAATAAGGAAAAGAGTTCATTGCTGAATTTCTCAGACCGGACATTGGAGGATGCAAATTTGTTGATGGACCATGATGTAAGTAGCCTGGAGATATGTTTCCCTTCACAATTTATTTTGACTTAGTAATGAAACTAAATCTGATTTGTGTTATATGATTGGTTTGTGTATGTCCTGTAAATGATATGATATTCCCTATCATTTGAGTCGTGCATTTTTATGCCATTTGAATCTATGTTTGAAAGCCAAAATCTCCTTTAATCAGAAATGAAGGGGAAAAGATAACGAGATATGGAAAATATTTTGGTTTTGGTTCCTCTGTAGAAGTTCTTTTCTTCCTATTGATACTATAGAAGTTGTAATGCTCCTGATTTTACTTTTGCTCACAGATTCTTCTGGAAGTCCCACTTGACAGGGATCAGTCTTCTCATTCTGGCATTGAGTCAATGGGAAAGGATTTAGCTTTGGTACCATTAGAACCTTCAAGGTCATCTGTGTCAATTGCCGGGGGACCTACTATAACAAATGGTCATTCCGCTGGATCTAGTAACTATTTGTATCCGGGAACCTCTTTAAACTCAACATCAATGGATATGGATCATAAACATGATGTTTATAGAGGAGAAAAGAATGGACTGGCAGGATTGCAGAACCTGGGCAATACATGCTTCATGAATAGTGCTATTCAATGTCTCGTCCATACTCCACCTCTTGCCAAATATTTCCTGCAAGATTACAGTGAGGAGATCAATGTGGACAATCCTTTGGGAATGCATGTAGGTGATTGTTTCCACATGCTTTTGGTCACATCAGTGTCCTATGATTTCATGAAATGTTGAATAAAATGGTTTTGTTCCAATACACTATCACATTCTGAATTCTAACATATATAGCTGATGCGCAGGGTGAGTTAGCCATTGCATTTGGTGAATTGTTGAGAAAACTGTGGTCCTCTGGTCGGAGTGCTGTTCCACCCCGTGCATTTAAGGGAAAACTGGCTCGATTTGCTCCGCAATTCAGTGGTTACAATCAGCATGATTCTCAGGTTGGTTTTCTCGAGAGAAAAAGAAAAGAACTGGGAGAAATTCAAGCAAACTTTTTTTGGTTGATAATTTTGATAGTATGAGAAAGAAACAATTGCAAATAAAATGTTGTGCCCCTCTTCGTTTGGTAAATTTCAAATATTCAAGACACATATCTCGTCATGAAACATAAGCCAGAAGGTTCCTTTCGTTACATTTTCTATGTACTTGATTCAGTTGAATTGCCTTTTTCTAAGAAAATGTTTTCTGCCGTCTGTTGTACCTTGAGTATTGGAGAAGTCATTTATTTAGTTTTAGAGGCTCTTTTAATCTGTGTTTCTCTGTTTTTTAAGAATTAGAGTGCAATTACTTTCGGAAAGGTCTGATGTACCCTGGTTTTGCTATTAGACCATCACATATTGTGAAAACACGGTTTTGGTCTTTCTCCCTTTCTTCGTAAGTATTACCCATGCTGGAATAGACCTTTAATGATAAAGTTACTGAGGATTAGCTATATTTTTGTGGAAAAATTGGCAGTTATTGGCCATGCATGTGTGATGCTGTAGTGGTTTTTGATGCTGACAGGGTAACGTTTTCAAATAAAAGCTTAAGGTATTATTTGGGATGTTTGCTGGATATTGTTGGGTGGTTTGATTCTGTTGACTGGTTGCTAAACGACCAAGTGACTGGAGGGTTGAGAAACTCAGTGAATTTGATTTTCCCTTGATTGCCCTTATGTTTGAGAAATAAATTGTGTTCGAATGTGTCTTCCCTTGAGAACTTAGTCAGCACTAAGTTAGGTGGTCTAAATGAAATGCAATTACTGATTGAATTTTAGCCCTTTTCTTTAATATTTTTTTTTTTTAAAGTTTCCTATATCTTTTCAATGTAGAAATACTTCTTGGTCATCCTGTCAACTACTGGGCTTAAAATTTCAAACAAGAGTGTTATTTAATGATTATTCTTTGGTTTAAATATAGCCATGATTTCATCTTGCCATAATTGTGCTGTCTTTCTTCAGGAATTACTTGCCTTTTTATTGGATGGGCTGCATGAAGATTTGAATCGTGTGAAACAAAAGCCTTATATTGAAATGAAGGACTCAGATGGTAGGCCAGATGAAGAAGTTGCATATGAGTGTTGGAAAAATCACATTGCTCGGAATGATTCATTGATTGTTGATGTATGCCAAGTGAGTGCTTCTATCTATCCCCCCAATTTATTATCTAAATTGCAGCTGCCTTCTCAAAGAAGCAGAAAATACATCAATTATGTTTTTAGTCACTTGTGATTTCTTTTAGCATCTACTTTTCTGTACCTTTGTTCGTGGTCCTTATTTTGTAGATTTCACTGTGATTTGCATCCTTCTCTAGAATCTGTGAATTTGATTTGGGCGACAAACCTTGTTAATTTTTAATTAGTTCTGTTAAGCTTGACAAGATAAAGTTTGAAGCGCATGCAGGATGCCTTTGCTAAGGCTCATTATAATTGTTATTTGGCGATACTATGTTCAGGGTCAATACAAGTCAACGCTGGTCTGTCCTGTCTGTGGCAAAGTCTCAATCACTTTTGATCCCTTTATGTACTTATCTCTGCCACTGCCTTCTACCATTACAAGAACTATGACATTGACAGTCTTCTATGGTGATGGAAGTGGTCTTCCAATGCCATACACCGTGACAGTTTTAAAACACGGTTCCTGTAGAGATCTTTGCCATGCTTTGAGCACTGCGTGTTGCTTGAAGAGTGATGAGATGCTTTTGCTTGCAGAGGTAAATACATCTTGAAAAATCATGTTTAGTTTTGGATCTATGTATGGCATCGGTTCTATTGTTTGATGTTGCATATGCCTTGCTCTTAGGTTTACGATCACAAGATTTATAGATACCTGGAGAACCTGTTGGAACCACTGGCTACAATAAAGGATGATGAACATATTGTGGCTTACCGATTGAAAAAAGGAGCTCAGAAAACAAAACTAGAAATAATTCATCGATATCTAGATAGGTAAGCTTACTATTTTGGTGCATGGTTTCACATTGTTCTCTTGAAATATCATAAAGCTCTGGATTCGTTACCATTTAATGGTATTTTTTTATCGTCTGAAATAAAGTAATTGTTGATTCAAACCAAAAACTTTGAGGAGATATTTATCTAGGTTATATTAACTGAAAGGCTTTCACTTTGATCCTCGAGTGTTTATGCTGTGATAATGTGATATAATGTGGATATTCAGTTATACATAGTCATTTTGTTATATAATGTTGTTGGGAGCCAAAGTTGATTTTGATTTCTCAAAATGCAAAAGGAACTGATCTTGTAATTTTTCAGAACTTCTAATTTTTAATAATTCTGGTATGCTCGTTCCAAATAGCCTCTTTGTGAGAGCAGAAACTGTTATTCAATCTGGAAGGTGGTCATGGCAGATGAATGCTACCTGCCCCTTTCTTTGTGAGAGCAGAAACTGTTATTCAATCATCTTTCACGGCAGCATGTGTCTTGAAAATAAGGATTTCTGGGCAAATAGGAAACAAAATTGAAGTAGTTAATTTTCTAATGCATTATGGTGAGACAATGAGCGTACAGATGTGGTACCTGCCTTCATTAATATGCATCTCCTATCCTTCATTATATTTCTTAAAACTGCAATCTGTTGGAAGATTATTTTCCTAGAATATTTATAATGCGCTGCTTAGGGTCACCGTTGCTGGGTGTTTTAAGCTCTACAGATTCTTGTAGGTGCCATTGTATGATTGAAGTTGATACTTGCTACTCAGGATTTCTCATGGGACTCTAACCACAAACATATGCTTATGAGGCTTAATGAGAGAGAGAGGAGAGGGAGAGGGATGTTTTCCATAGCATGACTGCAGAACTGAATGTTAGAGAGATTTCACTGACTTGTTCCTGATGCATTTGCAAAGCATATGCTTTCATTACTTTATTCTTGGTTGATCTAAATGCTTCAATTACCCAGATGTTCGCTGGACAATACCAAGGGTGGAGAGAGGAAGCTCTTTGGAACTCCCTTGGTGACTTATTTGGCAGAGGAGCCTCTATATGGGGCCAACATTGAGACCTATGTTGACAGAATGCTGTTGCCTCTAAGAAGAGCTTATTCTTCTAACTCTCATAACGAAAAGGAAAATGGTTTCTTAGCAGGTGGTGGTAATCAAGTAAATGAATCCAATACGGAATGTGTACCAAGGTACCAGACAAGTGACGGCCAAAAAACCGGGGAATCCCAGTGGGGAGATGTCTTTCCAGCTTGTTTTATCTTCAGATAGACCTTTGAGCTGTGCTCTCATAGAGAAGGATTCTCCTATAAAACCTGGTCCAATTATTAGAGTTTTTCTTGACTGGACTGATAAAGAACATGAGTTATATGATGCCAGCTATCTCAGGGATCTGCCTGAGGTTCACAAGACAGGCTTTACTGTGAAAAAAACCCGGCAAGAAGCCATTTCTTTATTTTCATGCTTGGAGGCATTTTTAACTGAAGAGCCTTTGGGCCCTGATGACATGTGGTAAGAGGGGCTAAATTTCCTTTAATTGGACCTTCATGTGATAACGAGCTTTTGGAAAATATATTCATCTAACCTATCCTTAAAATATTTAATCAGGTACTGTCCTAGATGCAAGGAGCACAGACAAGCTACCAAGAAACTAGACTTGTGGAAATTGCCAGATATACTCGTATTTCACTTAAAGAGATTCTCATACAGCAGATATTTGAAAAACAAACTCGACACATTTGTAAATTTTCCCATCCACAATCTCAATTTGACCAAATACGTGAAAAGCAATGATGGACAGTCTTACGTTTATGACCTTTACGCAATCAGCAACCATTATGGAGGCCTAGGGGGTGGGCACTACACTGCCTACGCAAAGGTAAGTGATCTCTTGATTTTTAATCCTACTGGATTTTGTGAAGGTTATTGCTTTTCTAACCTGTGTCATTACACCCGTTTGGTTTGCTTTATTTGACGCCGCTTTTTCACTAAATCAATCTTGTACAGTTGATCGATGAAAACCGATGGTATCATTTCGATGACAGTCATGTCACCCCGGTGGCTGAAGCGGAAATTAAATCTTCAGCCGCTTATGTGTTATTTTATCAAAGAGTAGCCTCAACGGAGGGGGAGACATCTAAGGGTCACACAATTTCTTGAAGGCAATGACTGATGACTCTGCGTTATTCCCTGATTTTCCTCCTTGTCAGGATGTTGGAACTTATGCCAGTCAGAGCATAGTTTTCTGGTGCATAGTTATGTCGTTATTCAGTGCAAACTGGGTCGCCTAGATCCTGAAGACACAGTACCATTGCGCTAGGCATGGCGGTTAGTAAAATTTTTTTGGCGAGGATCCAGCCAAAACATGGAGGGTTGGTGTAGGATTAATCATCTATTCCTGTATGATTGACAGAATTTCTAGTTAGAAAAATTTTGGCAGCCTACGAAATTGCTCATTGATTGATTTTCTGGTATTTCATTTGATTGTATGGGGCAAAATATGATTATCGCTGTTATAACAAGCATACCCTGAATGTAGCTTCGCGTTTGAGGAAGAATTTGTACCAAACTTTTCCTTATTCTTGGTTTTGGGGAATCTGTAACCGAACATATGTTAGCCTACTTACAATGCATGTGAGATAAGCAGCATCTAATGTGCTATTTCTGTTGGTTAATATAAAAAAATTAATAAATTACTTAATTATTAATATATATTACATGATTTTTTTAAGGCAGTTGTATATTATTATATTATATATGAATTAAGGTAGTTGTATATTGTTATATTATATATGAATTTATAGATGAGCCGATTTAGTTAGGAGAAAAATGAACTTCAAAGTAATTGAATAATTTTTTTGATCTCTTCCAATTAATCATTTGAGTTTTATATTAATGAGTTGAATTATTTAATTTGAGGCTAAAGGTGCCTTGGGACAAATGCCGCAACCGATGTTCCCTTAAAGGGGACTGTGCGTGTCTCGAGATGGCACAGACAGACGAACTCAGAATTTAAGGAGTTGAACTGATAGGTTCGAACAAACAAAAAACTTGAGTCATGATGATACCCAAGAGAAGTTAGAAGCAATGATTAAAGAACCGGACCGGACCGGACGGTCGGACCGGTTGAACCGTCACCCGGACTCGTTAACGGCTCGATTTGGACCAAAAAACCGTTCACATAGTTGAGCCGGATTGGACCGAAGTTGAGCCGTTATTAAGCCGGAAACCGGAGTTGGACCGGGAACCGAAACGGTTTTCAGAAAACCGGACGGTTTTTTAGCCTGACTGAAAAATACTAAAAAATTTTCAAAAAATAGAAGAAAAATAAAAAAAAATTGATCCCCTTAAATATCCTAATATATTTTTAGACTAGTTATAACCATATAGTATTATTTCATTAAAAATTTCATATATTGTGGTGTTAAAATCGTGAGTCGCTAGTCTTTTTGTTTCGATATTTGATCTATCTTTTAAAAAAATATTTTGATTTGAATGAATTGATAATTTGTAATATCATTAAATATTTTAAACATACATAAATTAAATATATAAGGTTTTAGTCCATTTTCAATGATTTTATTATAATTTTAGATTATTTAAATGCATTTCTAAATTATTTAATAATTTGATATTTTTCATATATACTAATTATATGTATATAATATTTTTTTAAATTAATTATTGCGTCACCGGTCTGACCGAACGGTCCGACCGATCCGACCGATTGAACCATGACCCGTTGATCTTTCCGGTTCGACTTCCGGTCCGGCTTTTAAAACATTGGTTAGAAGATGCTGAAAGAAGATTAGATTAAATATTTAACAATATTTTAACATAATTTGTGCTCTTAAATTGGGGAACGAAAAGCTGACTTATTTAGCAAAATGTTTGATGATAACTGAGTCAAAAATGAGTAATACTTTTTATTTTCACAAGCGTAACAAGCTATTAACTGAAGCAGATCCCCCCCCCCCCCCACCTGACAATTGAAGGAGAATACGCTATCAACCGCTTTAGTTGCTCGGCAGTGATATGAGAATATTTTGTGCTGTGTCGGGCCATGAAGGGCTTTTTTACCCACATGCTATAAACAGTAAAATAAAATACCAAAATGCTACAGCACGGAAAGATATTACCAAAATGCTACACTTGAAATTCATCACCAAGAGATGAATTTATAAACTTCATCTTGCCCAAAACGAGTTCTTCAATAAAGTGGGAAAATTTGCAAATTCATCTAGTGGAGATGAATTTTAGAAGTTCATCTGATAGAGGTGAATTTTAGAAGTTCATCTTTGACAGATTAATTTTAAGAGCCCCTAAGCCATTCTGTCCTCTTCTGCCTCCATTCTATGTGAATATCTGAATATTTTTTTAAAATTAAAAAGAAATTTTTAAAATGATACATTCTTCCCAAGACTGATAACACATTTTAAAAAAAAATATTTTTTGCCTTACCCATACGTCTCAATCATCCTTCCCAAGAATGCAAGCTTTTTTACTGTTGACCTATAAACAGTAAAAATTTTTTATCAAAACGCTATACTTTAAGAAGATTTGCTAAAATGTTATATGCGAAATTCATTTTCAAGTGAAAAATTTCCAAAATTCATCCACAAAAGAATAATTTATTCGATATCTTTCATCATACTTGTAATGGAAGTTCATCTTCTAGAAATCAATATAAAAATTCATCTTTTAAGAAACAATTTCAAATTTCACTATAATGAGTAAACAATTATTGGAATGAAAAATCATAATTATTAATTAGAGGATATTATATAATATTAACAATACTAATAATGATTATGAAATTAGGATGAACTAATAAGATGTATCAATTTAAAATAAAAAATGTAATGAATAGATTTTGTAAAAAATAATTAATAACAAATAATAGTTAAGTTTACATGAATGAAAAATAATAAAATGTACCTTACAAAAGGTGACTTCCAGTACCACACCTTGTTCTCCTTCGCATACGTTGTGGCCGTTGTTGTTGCTGCATGTTGGCTTCTTGAGATTGAAGTGTCTCATTTGTTTGTGTAGTTGGCGTATTCAAATCAAACCAAGGCGACTCATTCAAATGTATGGACTGTCGAGGGGTGATAAATGCTTCATTTGATGGTCCACCATGCTCAAAAGTAGAAGCATTATATTCAGCAGAAAATACTGATGGATTATCTAATAAGGTCATGAACGATTGAAATTGAGAAGGATTGGCTGAGTCAGAAGGGAACGGTGATGAGGGTGTCATGCAATGAGGCTCAAATTGTGTATGACTAAGAGAAATAAAAGGGGATGATGAAGAGGCTGACATGTGATCAGCTTGACTAAAAATTGGAGGCTCCTGTTCCCTGATGTTTTCATCTTCAATTATAGGTTGTGTTGACAAGTAACCCCCACGTCGCCTACTCGGTCTATCTCGAGGAATTTGTGGGCGAGACAACTCAATTGTTGGTGGAGCAGGTTGGGGATTCATATTAAAACGTTGTTCTCTAAGAGCAAGCAAAATGTTGCGTTGGTCTTGAACAACCCTATCTCGATAATCAATGCAATTAGGGCATGTTGAACGAGAATTTATGGATAGCCTATATAACTCCTCCGCTATGTCAGACTGAAATAAATAATAAGATATCAGGTTATAACACTTTTAGTATGAGGAAAAAATGGTATTGGTGAAAAAAAGAAGAAAAACATACCGCGCAACCTGTATCACTACTGATACGTTGGATCCATCGTCTCGTATGTCTCCAATACCATTGCATATATTGAGATGTTCGATCAAGTTCATCAAGTGCCATAGGAGCATTAATAACTGCATGTGGCCATCCATCCCATGCTTCAATGAAGTTTGAGTATTTGTCAATCCAATTTGTAGTTGTTCTACCTCGTAATTGCATTGTGTGGTAGTTTTGCAAATGAATAGGCGTGGCAGGAATTGGTTGCTGACGACCGAATTGCCTTAATACACGATCAGGATGATGCCATTCTATAATATTAAAACATATCAGAGGAACTGAGGCACGCCAAATTTCAGGTGTAGTCAAACAATACTCTGGAATTAATTGGCGCACTTCAATAGATTCATATGGCTGCCAAATTATCTCGTCGTCAACCATTTTATCCAGGAAACTCCTATATCGGAGTAAAGAGACAGTAAGTGGACGAGCATTCTGTCTCACATTCTTCCACCTGTTATTGCAAAAAGTAATGTTAAAAATCATATAATTTAAATAATATAAGTGCATATCAAATAGTTGTTAAGTGAATTTTACATACCTAAAACCCAATGGAGGTAAGAAAGGATAGATATTAGAGTGCGGATCTGGATACACAGGTCGTTGTGGTGCTAGCATGGGGAAGCGATCCCATGCCCATAAATGTAGCAGTGATAAGCATCCTCCAATCCCATCCTCAGTTGGATTAGTAGCATTACATAATTCTCTATAAAGGTGAGCTAAAACTGCTGATCCCCAACTATACTTTCCAACTTCTTGTAAATCATAGAGTAGTGGGAGGTACATTAAATATACTCTTTGACCCGATCTATCTGGTAAGAGGTAGCCGCCAATTAACCTGAGGATATATGCACGAGTAAATTGTTGAACTTGTAAATCATCTGCATCATCGGGTAAGTCATTAAATTGCTCTTCCAACCAACTTATAAGTAGTCGTTGCCCATGTAGTCTATCTGCAGGTGGTCTAACGCCTAGAAGCCATTCACAAATGTCTAGCCAGTTATAGTCGGTACGCCCAATGACAACCATTCCTGTGCATGGAAGGCCTAATTGTATAGCTACATCCTCTAATGTTATGGTACACTCTCCACGTGTAGTGTGAAATGTATGAGTTTCAGGACGCCACCTCTCAACAAGTGCTGAGACTAAACCTCGATCGTATTCAAATTGTCCTACTCTAGTAGCACCATAAAATCCGGTTAATATAAGATATTCAATAATTTGATTGGGTGGGTCAATCATTCTATTAGTGTGCATCACTCGTCTAGTATGTAGGATTCTATTAACCTACCATAGAAAGAAAAGGAAAAAGGTTAGTATTGAAGCATAGAATTTATAATCTATAGTAAATAGATTTTACTTACATTATCATTCCACACACGTTCTGAAATATGTTGAGGTTGCAAGTACAAAAGAGAGTTATCCTCTGGGCCAGGGTTGATAATCTCTTCTGGAGATTGTGCCATTTTAAAACGTCTCTGTATAAATTAAAGAAAAATTTACAAATAACATAATAGATAATCAAAGTAATTATAGTCTAATCTTCACAGAATATAATAATTTATTACAACAAGCGAACTACATAATTTATTGTTTAGATGCTACACTTTGTGGACACGTAGAACAGTTATGACCAACTTGTCGGCACAATGCACACTTGTTAGGTTGGTTGGGAGTGATCCAATCCATTTCATTACGTATGCGACTTGAACGAGGACGTCCTTTTTCTCGAATCATTGATGGGTCTGGTATTAGAGTAGGACAATCAATTTGTGGCCAGTAAATCTCATCACCCATTGGTTGGAACTCATTATTATAAGCCATTTGCATGGTGTCTAATCTGAAAACAGGATCCACGTATTGCAAATGGTCTATGCCCACTTGTGCACATGCAGCAATGCTATGCATGCATGGATA